TTGGGAGCACCTTGAAGGAGGTGACCGCTAGTGCAAAAAGGGTTGGCATACCGATGCACAAGGCTCCTGAGCTTGGGGCACACATACTCATGATGCCTGCTGAAAACATGCTGCAGCACTGGGAGCACTCACAGCATGCGTTGCACCCTCTTGACATTCCGCCCGTCGTAGATCCCGCCATTGAGAAAACAGCGTGCCGGTTGTTGGCCGTTGGCGCGCAGGTGAGTGAGCTCAGGACTCGCGTCCTGGCAGACGTTCGGGAGCTTATTCGGGTTTCGCGTTCTAGCACTGAGGAGTGGTTCAAGTCTTTGCCCCCACATGTCCAGGACGCATACCGCTTGGAGGACGGTCGCATTGTGCAGATACCTGTGTTTATTCGGCTGCTCCAAAGTTGCAATTATGAGGACTGTCATAACCTGCAGCGAGATCTCAGCGAGGGATTCCCGCTGCTGGGCGAGCTCCCAAGATCACCAGGTTGGCAACCGCGGACAGATGAGAAGTATCAACATCCCATTGACAGGCAGACCTTTGCCGCCCTCAACTTTTCTTATGTGTGTCAGAAATTGGCCAAACCAAAAGTAGACCCAGAATGGAGGACTTTGCTCGAGGAAATCACGGAGGAAGTGGCCCAGAATCGAATGCAGGGCCCGTTCACGGCCCCATCAAGTTGGCCGCGGCAGACAGTCGCAGTGCCTGACCGAGAAGGGTTCACACACTGCCGGCCATTGCTGGACACTCAGCCTCGTGTAGCGGGGGCGTTCTCGGTAGTACAAATGGGTAGTGATGGGCGGCGCAAGGTCAGGAGATGCGAGGGTTATCGCCGTAGTCATCATAATTCAACAATAAAGGCGCTAGACGTGCCGGCGCATGACACGGTGGACACATACGTGCAGCTGATCCGTTTCCTGCGCGGGCTCGGACTGCGATGCACCATCTGGTGCCAGGATCTTTGGGCCGCATACCGGCAATACCCAGTGGCCAGACCGGATGAGGCGTATGTGTTGCTGCAATTGCCACATGGACCTAGCCTGTGGCGGCATTCGGTGCTCCCTTTTGGCAGCAGTTCCTCTGTTTGGTGCTTCAACCGCTGCACGGACGCGTTGCTTTTCCTGGGCCGGTGCTTGCTACTGTGCTTGGTGCTGCGTTTTGTGGATGATATCGGGTCTCCTGACGCGGAGTGGAGTGCCAACAGTAGTTTCTCGGCTTTCAGCGAGCTTTGTGAATTGTTGGGTTTGCGGTTGAAACCTTCTAAAGCCCAACCCCCGAGCAACGTGCAGAAGTTGTTAGGGGTGACCATTTCCGTGAAGGAAGAAGGTATTGTCCTTGAACCCACGCCGCAAAGGATACAGAAGGTTAGGGCTGCGTTGCAACAGGCGCTGGCGTCTGACAGTCTGACTCCCGAAGAGGCGGCTCGCGTCACGGGCAAGATCAACTTCCTGAATACCACCATGTTCGGGCAATTGGGTGCATCGGCCATGCAACCACTTTACGCCAGAGCAAGAGACTGCCGGGGAGATTCGAGTCATAGTCTCAATGGGGCGTTGAGGAGCGCGTTGACCACTCTGAACGCTATTCTCGCCAATCCAGTCCCCAGGGTCATCCCATATGGCGATGGAGCGCCAGCGCAGATTGTGTTGTATGCAGATGCCTTTTTCGAGCTGGGAGACTCTTCCTTTGGGCTGGCAGACAATCCGCCGGAGCATTGGTCCACTTCTCGTTGCCGATATTATCGAAATGGTCTGGGATTCGTTTTGCGCACTCCGCAGGGAGTGCGTTGCACACACACTTCGGTGCCAGCGTACGTGCTTTCTTTGTTTTCATCTAGAAGGGCTTATATTTATGCTCTGGAAATCTTAGCGCAGCTTCTGGGTGTCTTGACCAGCTTGGATGTAGTGCGCGGCCGCTGGATTGGTTTCATTGACAACACCGCAGGCAGGGCGGCTTTGAACAGAGGATATGGGCGAGACCCGGCCATCAACCACCTATTAGCATTCTTCTGGGCCTTCGCATCAAGAGTGCAGTGGAGCCCACATTTTGAATGGGTGCCGAGCGAGCTAAACGTATCTGACCCGATTTCGCGAGGGGATTGGGAGTTGGCCTCACGCGGAGGCTGGAGCAAGCTAGACTCTCCTTTGGAGCCCTTGTGGCGCATATTCGCCAAGGTCGCAGGGGACTTGCGCTACGCGGTCGGTCAGGCCGTGGATGATGTGGTGGCCCTTCAGTGGAGTTTTCAGATTTGAACGATTCTCCTATGACCCGCCACGGGGTGGGGATGGGGCTGTGCCGGGTGGCGGTCAGACTGCACAGCCCGAAGTCCCTCACCCGTGAGCCGAGAAAGCGAATGCGAATCCACGTGAGCTTCACCCGAGATTCAAGCACACCACAGCTCCGTGGGATGGTGAAGACAAAGCATCGTAGTCATTCTTGCATTCAAGAGCATGCCGAGTCACATGTCGTGTTGGCACAGAATGTGCGAAGTGACATGACACGAGGCAGGGTCTGCACGCTGTAGCCGTGCAGGCCCGAGCATAGCATTTTCGAACACCCTCCCACCACTCCCAAGGAGTAACGTTAAGGGGGTGCCACGTGGCATTCCACGGCTCTCCGGGTGGCGGTCAGACTGCACAGCCCGAAGTCCCTCACCCGTGAGCCGAGAAAGCGAATGCGAATCCACGTGAGCTTCACCCGAGATTCAAGCACACCACAGCTCCGTGGGATGGTGAAGACAAAGCATCGTAGTCATTCTTGCATTCAAGAGCATGCCGAGTCACATGTCTGTGTGTGTGTGTGTGTGTGTGTGTGTGTGTGTGTGTGTGTGTGTGTGTGTGTGTGTGTGTGTGTGTGTGTGTGTGTGTGTGTGTGTGTGTGTGGTGTTGTTGTGGTGTGTGTGTGTGTGTGTGTGGTGTGTGTTTGTGTGTGTGTGTGTGTGTGTTGGTTGTGGTGTGTGTGTGTGTGTGTGTGTGTGTTGTGTTGTGGTGTGTGTGTGTGTGTGTGTGTGTGTGTGTGTGTGTGTGGTGGTGTGTGTGGTGTGTGTGTGTGTGTGTGAGTGGTTTGTTTTGGTCCGCGGTGTGTGTGTGTGTGTGTGTTTGTGTTTGTGTTTGTGTTTGTGTTTGTGTTTGTGTTTGTGTTTGTGTTTGTGTTTGTGTTTGTGTGTGTGGGTGGGTGGGTTGGGTGGGTGGGTGTGGGTAGTTGGGTCTTGAACTAATGCACAACGCGCAGGGGGAGCCAGGCCTTCAGTTGCGAACTGTTGACGTTAACGTGGTCCAACAAAGTTATGCATTGAAGGGGAAGCCATCGGATGTGTGATGTAGTGTACCTTCGAGAATTCTGGGGGATATGTTAATCATATACGAATCCTTGTTGTCGGCAGCTTCGGCAGTTGCTGTTGTTCACTAAGATGTTCTAGTACAATGAAGTAGCTCGTTCCTTCCCCCGTTCTCTTTCGCTTTTGCTTTCTCTTTATCTTTTTTGTTTTTCTTCCTCTTTCTCTCTCACTCTCTGTGTTGGTCGGAAGTGATTACCTTGCTTAAGTCACGAAAGCTAGCCAAGTGCGGCAGCATCCTGCGGAGTGGGGTCGTTCCAGGGGGTCGAGCCACGAACCCTCCCGGCGAATTCCCATGGGGGCCTTCGGGGACCCGACCCTCAACTGTGGGTCCTCGGCTTAAGGCCCAGGATTCGTTTGTGGAGTGGCAGTTGCCAGCTCGTTTTGGCTCGAGAGGCTTGGGAAACGCTTGGCAAGGTTAGCTGAGACCCCCATTGCATAAAGAGTAGAGTTAGGGCTTGCGATTCGGGGCTTGGGGCATGTTCCTTCCGGGGTTTAGTAGGGTTAAACCCTACGTAGAACAGCCGTAAGCCTTGTGATGCTCCGGCCGCCCCTGCGGCGCAATTCCAAATACCTAAGCGACGATGCCTAAACCCAAGACCTTCGAAACATCCAAACATCACCGTCACCAAACCCTGAATTTAAAGCGGAGGAGCGGAGCCACGGACTCCAGCAGCTCTCTCCACTCGTCCCCTCAAACCCAAGATAAGATCAACACGCACATTGCAGGTGTGCTCGATCCTTTCCCTGCCGCACGTGTTGCTGCAACTAGATTCAATCGTCGCGCGTCGTGTAGCTTCCTCGGCCTTCCAAAAAGCAGTCGCTTGCGCGCAACCCCGCGGCAGCCGAGCTGGCCCAACGCTGGGTGTAGCGTGCTCGTCGCAGACAAAGGAAAACCAAAGTCACATATCGCTTGGTGCAGTGCCACACGTCATGAGTTCAGGAAGCAGCAGGGCTTCAGGAGGTTTAGGGTGGTGCCAGGATTTGGACCGCGGCATCGGATTGCGGCTCCGCCAAGCGGTTTAGGCAGGTCCTACCGAGAGGAGGAGCGGGGGGGTGGACCGCAAACTTCGGGGTGGGAGACTTGTTCCAGACGCCTCTCGGCCCGCTGGCTTCCGCATGTCAGCAGTGTGTGCGATTCTAGCAACATGAGCCGTGAGACTCAAGCAGCAGGAATCTCGAGGTTCAAGGTGGAGGGCAATGGTTTAGGATTGCTTCCCGCTCCGCGTGCCTCTCTTGCCTTGCGATCTGCTAGAGGTGGAGACTTCCGATTGGGGAAATCCAAGGTCCAAGGTTGCACTTGAAAGCGAATTACTCTCCTTATAACGGCGCTCCGGATCCTGCTCGCGGTCGCCTTTTTGGGCCGAGTTGGATCGCAACCCTGTGCTTTCAAGGTGCCGCTGCATCCGTCCGAGGTAGTTGCCGTTTCCGGCCCAACTTGCGAACCATCTTCAGTCCTGTGTCCTTTCCGTGTGTATGGGCTTCAGACATCAAGTCAACCCCTGGCCTTATGTCACAAGCCTTTGCACGTCATCTCGTCTCCGAAGATTTTGTGGCACCTTCGCCGAGCTCGATAGCATCTCAACAAAAGGGTCACAACGTGTGAGCCAAACACACGTGAAAGTACAACTGAATTCGACATGCAAGATATCCAATGCACGTGTGTTGTTGCTGGGAGGCCGCGTTGGGTGGTGCTGCTGGGCGCGCGCAGTTGGCAGTTGATGCCTCGAGACACCACTTCGTCGCCTGCACGATCTTCGGGAGAGATGCCTTCCTGTTGCAAGGTCGACAAACACTTCGCAATCGACGAGACCGCTACGTGCGCTGCCAAACGGCTCGATTACATCTATCGGGGCAAGAATCGTGGCCATGTGTCAAGGCTTCTGTGGAAAGAAACAGATCAACGAGTCAAGCAGCCTGTCGAGGCAACTGTTGTGGGGGAAACATAAGCCATTCTTCCGAAACTCTTTTCGGGTGGGAGCCAGCATGTTCAGGTTATAACTCTCTCGCGTGTTGTGGCCTGCTCAGCATACGAGGGACTGAGTGAGAAGAATGAGTTGCAACCGCATGCTTCGAGGTTGCTGAAGCACAGAGAGCTTTTCCAGGCTTGAGGGCATCACGCAATTGCTGCGCCAACAGTGTTCTTGCAACCACCTCATGCTCTGAGCTACCTCCGCTATTCCAGTTGCATGTTGCGCTCGTCGGCGCTCGTTTTTTGAACGGCAGGCTTACAGCATGCTTCCGAGATCTATCTGCTCAAGCTAGACATCGAAGGCTTGGAGCCGGCTGTGCTGAGGCCAGAAGATCCATGCAGCCACAGATCAGATCACAACAGATCAGGGACTGCAGCTTGCATGGTACAGGTCGATGGCTTCAGGGCGTCCGCGTGTCAAGTTTGTGAGCATGACCCTCAGAGCCTCACAGGAGTCCACTTTGCAGAACTGCCATTCAACTTAGCTGAATTCTGCGCAAGCTGAGCAAGCGGGAGCGCAGATCTGTCTGTAGGCTTCGAATACGCGTCCAACGTTTGGAGAGAAAAGCTGTCCCAAGTTGTTGAGGACGGCTCACCAACTGCTCCAATTGCCCCAGTTGCAGTGTGGCTTTGGCTTCGATTCGAAGCACGTGTTCAGGACCTTTTTCGCGCTCAGTATTTCTGTTTCCTGATCACGTCCGAGCAACTCTTTCCTGTCCTGACCTTCAGAACCTGCGAAGCATAAGTGCACCCTGCAGCTCGTGTCAAGTTAGCGTGATTCGTGATCTCCGGTTCCAGACTATTCAGGTTTCTGGTCCCTTCTGGAGTTATCGGTTCGAGATTCCTATGTGGTCCAGCCGGCATGTTTTCGACCCGCGTTGCCCTGAGGAAAGGGACAAGAGTGCGCGGATCCGTGACGTCCAGTGCTGTTTTTTGTTGGGCCGCCAGGAGTAATTTGTTCTGCGGTCGAGATGGCGACCCAGATCTGGAGGAGCCACTTGAACCAAGAACCGCTTCAGACAACCCGCGTACAGCAGCAGGCGTTGGTGCAGTTGCACAGCGGAGCTGTTGGATTGTGGCCTCGTATGCAGCAGCCTCAAGGGAAGATGCTGCTTGAACTGCGTTTAGGGCATTGTGGTGCGTGTGAACAAAACAGTGCTCATCATCGCCTGACAAGGCCCGGGACATACTTGGCGGGGTTTGCCAGTCGTGACCAGCACGTAGGTGGCCTCCTCGAGGTGCCCGATGTTAAACATGGGCCACATGGTTGTTGTTTGTTTGTCATAGGGGCACAGCTGGCTTTGATGCAGAGGTGCAGCATGCTTGCACTGATTTGGGTGCGGCCTGTGCTGGAGCCTGCGGCTTGCGCTGATGGGGGGGTAGGAGTCGCACGGGGTCGGCTTTGCCGATGCAATCTGCTGAGGTTACTTGTCAGTACCCCGCTGGTGTTCCCGGACAGGAGCCAGGCCGGGCACGATAGAAAACCCGATAGGTACCACGAGCCTCAACACGGACACGATCAACACGCTTCGGCTGAAGCGTGAGATAAGCCAGCTGCATCGAACGACGTGTCTGCAGTTTAGCAGCTGTCACAGTCACAGTTCACCGGCAATCGCAATCTCTTCCCAAGAGCTTCAATGCCAGTTATCATGTGCAGATGTTCTCTCGATCTGCTGTTTGCCGGTTGGACATTGACCCATGCCGCTCTCCCTTGTTCACCAGTTTTTAGAAAATTCCGACTTTTGTCTCGTCGAGGCTTATGTAGGTCTTTGGCAAGGGAGAGGTCCTTGTTTGTTGTCCTGCGAGCAGTTGGCATCTTCCTTTGCGAGTGTATTCGTGTCCTACCCTGTTCTACATGGTCGGGATGTGAAGTGGTGCATTTTCCACGTCGAGGCCCGCTTTGGTTTCCATTCGCCCATGGACTTAGCTAACACAGTCCGTATGCCTCTCTGTTTGCAGCACAACGCGCCCCGCCTCGGCGCGCCCTGCACGTCGGGCCGAGTGCCGCAGCTTTTGCTCTGAATCATAGAAGGTCCTTGGGGCCAGAGGGCTCGGGGCCATTGATCCATGAGCAACACTTCATGGGCGGGTGCAGGTGGTCATGGAGCCCACAAGCCGCCCATAGAAATCCATAGGGGTCCAGGCTGGGGGGCCGACAGGGGGTTCTGGGGTTGCCAGGTTGTGAGCGGGGCCTCGGTGGATTGCTGTACATCACTCGAGAACCCCGGCTGTGCCAGCACGTGAGGACCATGCATTCCGGACCCCACGCCAGCCATGAGAGCCCATGGTTTAAAGGAGTCCCGTGACTCCAGACCATACAGCGACAAGTTCGCGGCAGTTTCCGGGGCAGGGGGGGGGAGGGATGCCTTTCGAGCACTGAGCTATGACGACAGCGCGTGCTTTGGTGCTCGAACGGCTGAAGGTGTCACAACATGCCAATTGGGCTGCGTGCCTTCAAATGGACAGCTACGCATGTCATGCACATCTTGCAAAGACAGAAGCGGTCAAAATTCAAACGAAAACCCTCCTGCAGTGTGCTTGCAAAATGAGATGCATCGTGATTGAGACAAGATGAAGCTGCTGTCAGGGGGCTGTTCCGCCCGCATGGGAATTGAAGGACTCAGAAGGTCTCCCACTGGCGAAGTCGAAGCCCCAAAGCTCCAGTTGCTTCAGACAGTATGCTGTTGCAAGTGCGTCTTTGGAACAAGCAGGTGACTTACCTCAAAAGCTTGGCACATGCCAATCTGTTTTTGAGGCTGGAGTAGACGAGAGTTCAGCTCCTGCAGCCTTTCACTGGATCTGCATTCCTGCCCCGCGCAGGTACAGGCAAGATGCGGAAGCACGGAAACAGTCTGCAGAATAGTGGAAATGGAGAACTCTGCTGCAACTGCCAGATCACATAGCGCTGGTGATCAGAGTGTCTGCTGACAAATTGAACTTGTGCAAAACATGCGGCACCATTTCCGAACCGACGAGCCATTTCCGAACATTTCATGCGCGCATCTCACGACTACCTCGTGCACACAGGATCTATCGGATCGAGCCTATCGCCAGGACAAAGGGTTTTCTAAACATGTCGAGAGTGTTGGCGATGGCCGCTGTGGGCCGTGATGGCGAAAGAAGCAGCGAGTGAGCCTCGCAACTTGCGGACTCACGAGCACATGGTAAGCACCAGCACCTACAGTGGACTTGCTGCAACTCGAGAGGTCTGTATGTCCTTTGCACCTGCAACATGTAAGTGAGCCACAAGTCATGTTCCTGAAGTTGCCCGCATAGGGCCTCCGCGTCCCAGCTCAGGACTCCTCTTGCTGGCTTGCCTGGCCTTGAATCATGTTGGTGCAGTGGACACAGGCAAGCTCAACAATCCTGATCATGGTGGTCACCGTTGTCACCTCTGACTCACTCCTGCTCATGAACTGTCTGAGGAAGCTCGCAGTCTGCCGCGGCTGCAGTTTGGCGGGATCTCGAGGATTTGGTGCAGCTACCTGCACAAGCCCAGGACTCCCAACAGGCTACATCACACAACATCAGCTGTATTTTCGTCCCCGCATTTTCCAGTTCTCTTCCTGTCGCTGTCGCTGCAGGCAGAGTACTGGAACAACGTGCTTGTGACATTGCACGCTGAGCATCCTCACCCTGCGGCTTGGCGGTCGCTCACGTAATGTAGCTCAAAGTTTCTGTTTTCTGAGTTGCTGCTCTGCTGTAGTGCAATATCGATCGATGACCCCGAGGATTCATCCGGAATTCTGGCGTGGCTGTATTTGTTCGGTCTGCCATCTGCAACGCATCCATTGGTACAGCGAGACGTGGACGCTGCGATTAGGATTGCGCGTGAGGGGGCGCATCATTCGCCACCTTGTGGGCGATGCTACGCTTTGCTGGGATTTCTTCTTGGCTTGGGATACCCTCCGCTGGTTGGAGCTGTGCACCTCGTGCAAGACGGATCAGGCGAGCCCAGACTTCTCATCCTCGGAGACGTCACAGCCCATGCCCCAGCAACAGAAGATGCAGCACGCTTACCGCGCGACGTTGGCCCGCCAGATCCTGCTGCAGCCGCATATGTCCTTGCATATACAGCAGGTGATCCACTTGGCACGCTTGTCACTGCTTACTTGAATCGAACAGGCATGGTCAATCTGACCCTGACCGAACCTGGTCCCAACCAAGCCTCTGCTCTTGTGTCACGCCAGCCCAGGACCACTGCTGAAGCAGCCTGCAACGAAGCTTTGGTCAATTCATTGGGCACTCTAGCTGCCTCAACCATTGACGAGATTCAGGCTAAGTCTTGGGGTCCCGTGCCCGACCCACTTTCTCAAGGTGCATCAAAGAAGAGTGCTGACAAAGCCTTTCTTGAGCACATCCTGGCTGATCCGCCCAGGTCCTCGGCATCTGATCTTGCTAAGGCCTGCAGTATGTTGGAAGCAGGTTCTGTTCGTTCAGAGGAGCTGCCGGCAGTGGCCCGACAATCTGCCAACGTGAGTCAGCTTCGGGCTTTGGCCGCTTCCAAAGGCGATCGGAAGTCAGCTCTCCGCGTAGCTGTGGAGCACTTGCAGGAGAACGAAACTGAGAAGGCAAAACCGCTGCTTAGCAGCGTCGTGTCGGCCGTGTCTGCAGATGCATCGGATGAAGCAGACATTGAGATGGCCAAGTATTACCTGGAGCGCTTCGTCTCCTCCAACGCGTCTGATGTCACAGACGCTAGGCGACATGCTTGGCAGCATCTCGTGAAGGCTGCGGATCTTGGCAGGGAGGACGCCAAACTGCTGGTGGCCCATGCGCTTGTAGATGGAAGCGACGCGGTTGAAGCTTCGAATGGGTCAAATAGCATGGAGGCGATCCGTCGCTACAGGCAATTATTGCCAGAACCTGACAAGCCCAATGACACGATGCCACCACCGCAGCGTCGGCATGGAGTCTTGACTCCGGTGCAAGCATTTGCAGCTTACAATTTGGGGGTGCTCTCCCTCCAAGATGGTGCTGCTCTTCCGGAGCCGAGATCTTCGGATTCCCCCGAGCTGGGCCTGGTTGGTCAGAATCACACAGAGACAACCAGAAATAGCACGGCCAGCAGCAGTGGCGATTCGGACCGCTTGCCTTCGGACACTCTGGGCGCAGATTCTGGAGAGCGTGCCAGCGGCATCTGCGCCGCAGACGTGTCGGCTCCTCAAATCTTGGCTTTCTTTTGTGTGGAGGTGGCAGGTGGCAAACAGACAGTATTGAACTGAGACTGAACTGAGTCAGCTCAGGCAAGACTCCTTCCTGGAAGTTGCGCTGTCCCAGTCCAACATAGTTCGCCTCATCATATCCTTGGAGCGGCGGTCTGCTAGACTTGGTGATGAAGTCGGTGCGCTGATGTTGGCTATGCTCTTAAGCAACCAGGCTGCTGTTGGCGAGCAGAGAGGGTCTTTGTGGGTGTCAGGTCGCACACTTTTGATCAGGGACTCGGCAAGCACCAACCCCTGAACGTCTTCATCGACGCCAATGGACGTGTGTGCCTGCAAACGCTAACATTGCTAATCCATCTATCTGTGTAAGGATGTACCTGGTTGGCTGCGTCAGGATAGTTACTTCGCACACTTTCACAAAGGGATGCCCCCAGTCGGAGGCATCCAGTTTGTTCCCTCTAGCGGCTCGAACTGCAGGTCAATGATCGGGAACGGATCGACCGAACTTGGCGAGCGTTTGCAGCGTACTGCGTTTCACTGTGGGCTTCGGCTATTCCTGTTGCTTCTGCAGGGTTGTGCTGCATGGGTCATCCTTGCCTTGCTGTCTTCCTTTCCAAAAGAGCTTGATGGGCTTGGAAACACAGGATGTTATGTAGTGTCAAACGAAAGGAGAAGGCAAGCCCAATTCAAACTAATGCGTTCTGATGCTTTCTATTTTGCGCAGCTTTGTTATGATTTTGCCACATTGGCTGATCTCAATAACATCTTCTACGAATAGTTTCGTGCAAAGAGCGAACACGACACCCCATCTTATCGCTTATTTTAGCTCACTAGTTCGCGAAGGTAAGCTGCTGTGCGCCTCCCTTGTCTTGGTAAGAAGTTATAAGCGAACGCAAGGAACAAACCTTCGGGAGCCAGTTTTGAGTGCATGGATTTCGCTTGAACTGGGGATTTGTGCCATATTCGTTCTGAGGTTTTCTCTACTTGGCGCGCGCGCGCGCGCGCGCGAAGTTGTGTATCTATTCTCAGGTGACATTGGCCACGATCTCGGTCATGCCGATGCTGCGTACTTGTGGGACAAGTGGGCGGCCCATCAACCACCTCACATGGTGATGATCCACGATGCGCAGACCCGTGAAAATGAGAAGGCAAGGCCGGGCAACCAGAGCGGCCGGTTTGCAGCACGCCGCACTAGACGACGCTGTCTGGAACACCAGGTGCACCAACCCTGCGACCTCCGTGGTTGGTGGACGTCATCTTCCCTGGACTTAGCTTCCAAGAATGTGACCTTGTTGTACGCAGCCGAGGCGGCCTGGCTCAAGGTTGCATGAAGCACTGCCGAATTTGTGGCACTTAAAGTGGCGTCACCGAAATTTTGCCCAGGTGACGGGAGGAGGCCACAGGGCAGGGCGGGTGGTGGTTGGATGTGCAGAAGAGCTCTGATGCGTGTGCGTGCTTTGACCTGTGCACAAAAGGCACTGAGATGTTCAATGCCAGCCTGGCCGACAGCCAACGTCTTGCAGGCTTGGAAACAAAGGAGATTATCCAGCCCAAGCCGGAGAGGGTGGAATTTCGACATTTGTATTCGTTCCTGCTGCTCGACTGGGAATGTCCTGAACCTGGCTTTGCTGCTTGTAGGGCTGTTTGCTGTCTGCCGAGTTGATGTCGATCTTTTAAGATAGTTTCAGGTGGCACACCACTGCTGATGCTTTTCCTGCTGGTGCACCTGTGCCTGTGGCTCTGCAACCTCCTGGGGCAGTGCCGCACCTTCTGGAGTTCCACCATCAGCGTGGTCGCTGGCTTTCAATTTGCAAGGGCCTTCAAGTAGGCCTGGATGTCAGCTTTGTGACTTCCTAGTACGTGCCCAGGTAAGCTTCAGATGGACAAATCCTGCAACACTGCCATCGTGGAGGGCATGTATGTCAACTGGACTTTCCATCGCTTAGATGCCAAGGAGCCCCCTGAGGCAAGGCAGCACAGAGAACCACACTTTGCTGGGACCACCCTGTTGCGCGTTTGGGCAGGCAGATGTGAGCGAGATGGTGGCTGAAAAGCGTGAACCAGGTGCCGATCCTGCGCTCGCATCTTGGATGGGCACTAACGGTTTTTTTTTTTGCCTGTCCAAGACGAAGCACCCCGGCCGAGCCCACGTTGAAGGAAGTTGCCGCGGAATTTGTCCATGTCTTCACTCATTCGGCCACGTCTCTTTCATCAAAGCGGCCTGACTGTTTGCGAAACATATTCACAAAATGCCCACGACACCCTTAAACCTTGCTCTCCGCACCTAGCAGACACCCAAGAAAGAAGGGGTGAAACCGCTCGCTCATGGCTGCTCATTAACAGTGCCGCTACTTCCCGTGGCATCCGCCGGCAGCTCTTGAAGAAGCTTTGTCAGGAACGGTGAGTGATGTTTCCTTCTGTTGACATTTGGACTTTCGACTTTTTGGTTACGACCTGATTGTAGACGGCCCTTGCTTCTTTTTCATCCTACTCGCCGCCGTCTAAGGTGGCAAGCAATCCTAACATTCCGTCTGGGATCCTGGCACCAAACCCTCAACCCCTGCTGAGCATCGCTGAAGCCTAGAAAAGCGGGAAAACGGGGCGCGCGCGTGGGAAGCATTCCAGGTTGCTGCCCGCGACTTCTTGCACTGCTGGGTTCGGCCAGAACGCTACCACCGAAGCCTACAAGCAGGACCCCCAGATGCACAGGCATTTGCCATGCTGCCTTGCTGTTCTGCTCTCCCGCTTGGTTCGCTGATCACCTGAATTTGTCCTGCTAATTTTACCCCAGGCTTCCTCAAATCCGTTGTATTGCACGGCCACTCCGGGTGTAAATTCCTGGCCGTTGTTGCACAGACTCTTGTCATCACCTCCTTACCACCTGCAAGGGTTGCCATCCTTGTGATGGAAATACACAAAGTCCCAGGCGCATGTCGTCTTGTTTGTTGTAATGTATTGACGCCATGGGAACCCATGGCAAACGGAGTGAATGACAGGCAGCTTTTGGGATTACGCCCTCGTTGTCTTGTTGCGTACTAACTTTATAGGAACAAATGGGGATGGAGTCTCCTGGGAGGCATGATCCCATGGTTTTGAAGACAACCTATGTTTCCTGCCAACCAAGAAAGAGACAGAAACTCAAGTGACAAGATTGCGCCTGAACAGAATGTTATAATTGACAAGAATCCGAGTGCAGCATGTTTTCTGCTACAGCCAACCCAGCTAAGCTGCTTGTGTTCTTGCTGGTCAGGACGATCAATGTCCCTCATCCGGCTTGTTTTTGTGGTTTGGACTTTGGTTTTGGGCTCCCCGATCTGCCCAACCCTCGAAAACGCTGCAGCTTGGTCCTCGGTTGCCCAGGCGAATTTGGCTGTGCAGCAGAATGGGCCTGCACAAGGTACTTGGCAGGAGCTCGTGGATCAGGGATGGCATGGCTGTGTTGCGATTTCGCCTGGGTTCATCTGAGCATGTTTCACGCGAGGAGCTCCTCTCCCTCACCGTGAGTGCTGACTGTCCGTGCTACGGCGGGTTTGGGTGCCGACGAGGTGATGGGGCTTGTGAGGCTCTCGCGAAGCAGTCGGCAGGCGCTGGCGAGGAGGGAGCGCACGCGGCTTTGCGCCTTTTGCCAAGCCCAGCTGCACCTGAACAAACAGAATCCTGAGGTCTAGAGCCTAGGGGCATTTTGTGTTTGGATGCAAAGCAGTAGAAAGTAGCAGTGCTTGCGGATGACAGAGAAGAAACTGAATTCCCATCTTGGATGAGGTGGTTGGTGGGGAGTTGTTTGCACCTGTTACTTGCAGTTTCGACTTTTGACCAGCCGCGCCTGCATGATTTTCCGGCCGGTTCCACGAACACACATCGCCAACAAGTTTCATATTACTGCCAAGTCAGCCCAGATCAGCCCAGTCAGAGCTGGGGCTTTGGAGGAGCTGTCTGCTTGTCGCCCGGGGTCTTCCCTGTGTCGGGAGGCGCGGTCTTGCGCTATTTGGCAGTAGTGGTGTAAGCCGGTGTAAGTATGCGGTGATATGCCGTGCGAGCCTGCGAACCCATGAGGTGCCTGCAGGTTTAGAACCTGTACGACCCTTGTTCGCTGCTGCGCCTGACATCTGCGCCTTCTACTTCCATCGGAGGCATGTGGCGTCATGTGGCGCAGCTGTTGAAGTGATGTGTTGATGTCTGTGTGCGGCAGGGCGGCTCATGATGGCCGAATTGACGCCATGCATGCCATGGACTTGGAATGGTCTTATTGCGAGCAACAGGTGCTCGAGACGTATATGTCACTGCGGTTTCGAGTTGTGAGGTTCTTTCGCATGCCTTCAGCAATGGCTACCGTGGTGCCCCTCAGGATGCTGCTGAGGACTGGCTCCCTTGGCTCCCAGTTGAGAGACGCAGAGAGATGCATGTTGTGAAGCAATTGCGCATGCCATCCTGGCAGGCTTTCTACTGGAGTCAGCAGGCCATGGCAGCTGGCGACCTACGAGGGCGATTTGATGTGGCGTACTCCATTGAGAACGGTCTGGGCACGGAAAAAGATCCTGAGACTTGGCAGACTTAGCGAACACCACGGAAAGCACATCAAGCACAGGGCCAAGATGGTCAAAATGCACTCTTGCAAGGCACGTGCCTACGAGCTCTATCAGGAGATCCTGACAGCTCAGGCAATGAGAGCGCTTAAGGACTAAGGGCCGGACTGCAAAGCAGCGCGCAAGGAGAGCTCGGGGTAGCGCCGTAGCACCGTAGTGCCGCCAGGGCCACGGTGACGACCTGGCAGCAAGAGCCGCCTCCTTTCTGGCGATCCTGGCTGCCTCAGGCCGTGCCTGGGCAGGCCGCACCTAGGCAAAACCTTCGTTCCAAGAAGAAATGCATACACTTGCATACAGCCTAAATGCCACGATGCGTGAGAAGACTGAGGGCTGTTTCGAGCCGCAGGCACGGTCACAGGAGACGCTGGCTATTCATTGATAACACCACGCAATGCGCAGCATGCAGATGCAGGCCGGGACTCGACAGAAGCCTTTGTGGCTTGACCATGGCCGACATCGGCCCGTGAAACGTGGACCTGCTCTGAAGCGTGCGGACTGAAGGCTGGCCGAGGATGCTGACACACAGCTAGAGGACGCTCCTGCACCTCGTCGTTCGGTGAAGAAGGAGATTGGCACAAGAAGAAGAACCTGGGAGTCACACCGAGTGGCTCAAAAGCACAATAGCTGCAGGTGATGAGGACACCGAGTGGCTCAAAAGCACAATAGCTGCAGGTGATGAGGTTCAAAATGTGCCGCTACTTAGCCGCTTCTTGTAGTCACTCTGCACTTGATGCGCCTTGATTGCCGTAGTGCTGGCTCAGAGTTGGAAGATGCGCACGCTGTCCAACCAGTGTCTCTGAACACCTATTGCCTAGCTTGGATATTGACCCAATCCAATCCGTGCCATGTCTTGGGGCGATGTGGAAGAGACCTTGCTGCTGGAGCCTCAGGTGGTTCCGGCCCAAGGCATTTGTGCCAATCTTTGCAGCATTCTGCACAGTTTCTGGCTCTTCCTGCTTCGAAGAAGCGCAGGCGTGGCCGTTGCTTGGCTTCATGCGATCGTCTGTCTTGCTGGATTGCGACAAGGCAGGGCTGTGCGTAGGGAAGCCAGCGCGCTTGATTGTACGTTTTGTTTGCTTGCGGAATGGCAGCGATGTGACCGTGCGCCGCCAGGCTTTGCGAGTGATGCCCAAGTTGTTGTAGCTTCTGGAAAAGGTGGAGACAGGCAGTGTGGCACAATTCCACACTTCTCTGCGTTGGGGGACCATGCCATCGGGAAGGCGGCCACAAGGAGCCCTAGCAGTGACTCGTGACATCGAGCGGCGAGTGGTGCAGGCTTGGCGCAGCCATCACTAGAAGTAGATTCCAACGATCTCCAACGTAATGATGAAAACTTGAAGCTGGCAGGCTGGAGGCAACACGCTGGGAGCCGAAGCCTTACGAGACTGCACGATGCCAAAGAGCGAAGCTGTTTGTCTTCCAACAATCGAAAGGTGCTGGTGGCATCGCTGTCTTGGACTTCTGCTGACGACCTTGACCTGCACATGCTTGTGCCAGGCGAGGGGGAGATGCGAAAGTGGATTCTGCCAGCTTGTTGGCGCCAGGTGGCCAAGAAATCAGCTACAGGCAAAAGACAGCAGACGGTGGTGAATTGGATGTTGACATGTGATCTGTCCTTAGCCGTGATGTTGCGAGAGTTGTTCTGCTATTGCAGTAGGACGTAGGTCTGCCAATGTGGGACAGCCTGCCTTGCCATGACCAGGCGTGCAGGGCAAGCATGGTGGCATGCTTCTCAGGGAAGATAGTTCTCGATTTATGCCCAGTCACGCAGCCTTGCAATGATACGGGCGGCTCAGGCAAGTGTGCCGACAGGCCCGTCGAGAATATCGTTTTCCAGGATGAGCCACCTGCAGGGCTGAGCCCTGAGACCCACACACCAAAGATCTCATGTCGGCAGGCATGGCGATGAAAACCTTGTGGCCAGGGCACAGGACCATCATGAAATGTTTCCGGCTCCGAGGCGCTACAAAATCTTTGTTCAGAATTTTAACTACCACTTGAACACCTTGCCCGAGAATATGCAGGCACAGATGGTTCGTAGACGGCGTCAATGTTTACATTCATTCATGCAAATTCCCACGATAAGCACAGCAGGTGGCCCGCATGCAGGACGATGGGCTGTGCCGTCAGAAACCAGGGTGTCTTTAGCACTCACCCTGCTGTAGCTCTGTGTTCTGCTTTCCCCAAGGAACCTGGCAGGCCATGTTGCAGTGTATCTGGGAACCCCATTTCCGGGTACTTCCCGCTGTTAATGAAAGGGAAGGCGCCTAGTGTTCGCGTCGGCGGCCCCAGCGATCCAATGCTCACAGGCGAAAGGACAAGCACTAAGACACATTCACCGGGGGCGCATGTGACTCAGCATTTTCCCGGAAATCTCATGATGTTTGATATTGGCATGTCCCTGTCTTTCGGGCGTCATCATGATGCACCTCCTAGAATCAATGTCTTGCATCTTTCGCGAATTTCAGGACTTGAATAACATCGGTCATTTGCGGGATCTGTTGTTTTTCATTGTTCTTGTCTTCGCTCGGAAACAGCTTTCGTGCACAAAGTAAAGACGTAGTCAGATAAACTCGTGTGTTTTTCTATGTTCAGTATGAGTGATGTGTTTCCTTTATTGATTCATTATTCGTATGCTTGGAAGCAAGAGAACAGGATAAGTAACAGGATCATGGTCAAGATTGGAAAAGCCTGTCTTTAGCCGAGTAGTAGTGAAAGAAACGAAGCAACGAAGCACATCAATTAATTTGCTGATTGTCTGTGTTTTCAACACGAACAAATGATGGCGTGTTCTTTGGCCTTTCCCTCGTACCTTGGGAAATGTCTGTTCTTCTTGCGATCGATTGTTTTCCGACGTCAGAAGCCTTTTGGAAACCGTGATTTGCAGACAAAGCGGCAAGGCCACGTACCACGCTCGGGTTCCTGCTTTAAATTCAGTGCACCCTTCCAGCCGCTTTCATGTGGGAGACCTGGGCACAGCCATGACGAACATCCCGTACTCCTCATGAGGGGCTTGGGATTCGTGAGATCTAAGATCTTGAGAGCCCATCCCAGATCTTAAGGCAGTATCTGTCGTACACTTCGGCAGGAGGGGCGCAAGGCTTCGAAAGAAGAGATGCAGCTTCGCCTGAGCCACCTGCAAGCATGAGTTGAAAGCAGCCAAGGAAACCCGAACTTGCAGTGACACCCGTGGTCCTGTGATGTCTTGTGCTCTCTCTGCTCCAGGCCAAGATCGGCCCGTGCTGTTTGACCTTTTGGTGAAGGCTCCAGAGCTCTCAATTTATCCAAAGTGGACGCCGACGTGTAGAGTGTTAGTAAATCTGCAGGTGCATGGCAGCAAGAAGTTGTTTGAAGGATTGTGCACGCGGAGACCTCATACCGACACCTGTGCACGAGAAAGGGTCTTGCTGCCCGTCTTTGGAAAGGCCAGCTGGAAAAACCCATGGGCCCAGCGACGCCCGGACCATCAGTTGTCCAGAGAGTCCCTGAGCGTCGAATGGCCACCACGTTCGGGTTCGCACTGGTTCAGGTCACAGTGCTGGAGTTTGACTACGACCCCAGCAAGGCAGCCTCTTGTGTTGAAGCCCTGAGGGAAGCCCCCCTTGAAGTTCCGCTGTCCTTGACATGAGGATGAGGAAGAGCGGCTCAGCTCGCGCTTCGAAGCCACTGCAGCTCCGGAATGCGCGCTCTCAGAGAAGAGCCGTCAGTGGAGCCTATCTTGGGGGGAGCACACGGGCGTGCGAGGCCAAAGGTATGCGGAGAGGCTTGCGCTGGCTAGCTCAGAGGCACATGGACAAGTCGGCCAGGCATGAGCAGTAACGGCTAAGTCGGCAAAGTTGTCCAGGCTCGCGCGTTGCCGGCCAGTCCGATTCCCAGATTGTCACCGACCCGCCATTCCGGAGAATTGGCTGCGACATGCTGTGACTTTGTGCATTCAAGCAGAAGGTCAGAATGGCAAGTCCGTCCAGTCCAAAGGCACCGCGAAGGCCGAGATTGCTGCCCGCATGCCTGCACGCGTGGCATACCATCTCTTGCCAGGGTAAAAGAAGCCCTGACGGGAGCACGAAGAAAAGTCGCACTGGCAAGCGGGCAGGCCTGACAGAAGCCACGTCAACACGCAGTTTCGCCTTGTGATCATTTTAAATCACGTGGCTGTTCAGCTCTTTGCATCTCGCATCGCTTCCTCGTCGCTGCCCAGTCGCAAGCTGTGCATTTGCAGGTCAAGGCAAGGAAGATGCAAAGCACGCCGCGCTTCAGGCCGAATCCCCGCCACAGTGGACCTCGTGAATCTTGTACCATCTTGTGCCTCCGGAAGTTCTCGAAGCGTTCATGGCCTCTCGCCACCATTGGCACTTTATGGCACGTGGATCTCGAGGCAGTTCGTAGTTCCTCTGCAGAATTGCTCACTGCAAAGCCAGTGCAGAGCCGAGTGAACTTATAGCGTCCAGATGCCATCTACTTTCCACAGTGCCTGCTTGCCGAGTGCATGGTATGGGCTCTACTAGCCCGAATGCTTCTCAGGCATCTGTGCTGCGGTCTTTGTTGTCTGACCTGGGTACCACATGCTCGTGTCTTACATGGACTTCGGCTTCCAAACACCTCAGTACTGATGCATACACGGTCAGCTACGAGGCAAGGGCTGCATGGAAAAGGCAGAGCTGGTGGAGAAGCTGCGTCAATCTCAGTCTGAGTTCCACCACGTTCCACAATCGAAATCTGACAGCAGCCTTTTCTTTTGCCAGAAGAGGGCATAGCGAGGGCTTGAGAAAAGGGCAGTAGAAAGGGCAGTAGAAATTGTGTACCATGCGCGGATGTCGACCCAGGCTTGCTGTGGCTGGCGTCTCTTCCGAGCTGTGAGACCATGTGGCGCAGCCAAAAGATGTGGACGACCAGGATGTGTATCTGGATCTAGGTGCTTCTAGGGTGCTTGCTTCACGGCCATGATTTTCCGCTGTCCGCCTCAAATGAAGCAGTAGTAAGGGAAGAGCCTGCCTGCTCGTGCGGCCACGCTCGCCATGGCCCCAAAGAAAAAGCCAGCGCAAGCTAAGGCTCTTGCACAAGCATTTGCGTGCAACAGCCTCATGTGGGTTGTGCGACCCTTGTCCTTGACATCGCGCACACGTGGTCGTCACAAAACATAAGCAGAGCAAAATTACAGCGCTTGAAACTGGTGCCAGGCCAGGGTCAAGAAGGTCGTCACTCGGCGGCATGGCATTTCGTTTGTCCTGGGTTTCTGGCTTCCCTGTTGATCTCTTCGTATCTCTTCTTTGACCCCTTTGGTTTGCAGGCAGCAGTGAAGCGAAAGCCCGCAGCAGTGAAGCGAAAGCCCGCGGCCAAAAAGCCTCCAGCCCGGAAGGCGCTCTTGGCTTTGAGTTCTGGGATGCCTGATGGGATGCTTGAAGCAAGAGCTGAGTGTCCTTGGTAGAATGTCTCTTTCTGAGACGCGCAGGGCTCCTCGCATGGCAAGCGACGGCAAGTGCAATAATGTTACTGGGTGAAATGATTTCTGATCGGTTGTGTTCTGTCAGGTGGCGCCACCGACAAAGCCCATCCGAATCGGTTTCTTGATTGGCAAGGCCGGCATGGCTACTGAAGCTATGGCTTCCCTCCTTCGGGTGCTTCTCCTGTCCCATCCCACGGAAGGACACGGACTTAGTTGAAGATCCCAAGTATGTCGGTGATGCCTCGTTCATGGATGACATGCCTGACAAGTACCGCGTGGACCCTGAGAGCAAGGAGCTGTGGCAAAGCTTGTTAAGCTTGGGCGAATGCTCACGAACGCACGTGTTGAAACCCTGCGCAGGAGTACCTCAAGAACTGCGAGGCTGGTACCAAAGGGTTTGCTCATGCAGACGTGGCGATTCCTTGGCACTGTCCTTGGCGAAGCGCGGTTGGGTTGTCACATGCTGTCTCATATGCTTTGGACATCTTTGGACCTTAGAGCCGAGGTATATCCACAAGAAGTACGGTGATGAAGTGGTTGTTGACATGATCTTTCCGGAGGAGATCACTCTCAAGCGCTTGATGCTTTGATAACTTTCAGGCAGCTCGGGGTACTCAGCCAGCTTAGTGAAGCAGATCTTCCAAGGAAATCCAACATGTGCAACTACATCATTGGGTACGATGTCATCAACTCCATCTTCGAAGGCCCAAAGAGGCATGGCTTTTTCGCAGAGATGTCGGCACATTGTAACCATGAGGACCATGAAGAGCTGCACACATCTCAGTGTAGGTACAAGGAGGTAACGAAAGCATTCACCCAATGCGGGAACCTGATGCCAAGCTGGGAAGTCCAGGAGAAGCGACTGACAAAAGGGGTATTGATCTGTGAATAGGATGCAGCGAATACCTGGCCATGTTCAGGACTTCATTTACATCAAATCCCGGTATATGCAGGCCCGGGCCCCCTGTGCGTGTACTTTCTCTGTTCAGCAGGTGAACCCAGGTGTCGACAATTGTGAGCAGGCTTGCATGGATGCCGGGATACCGATGGCACCGACAATCTTCGCGATCAAGGGCAAGCGAAGCCCAGCCAAGCTGCTAGCGGAGATCAAAGAACGAGGCGAGGGCAGCAACAGTCGTGTTTCACAATAGGATGCTGCATAAAGTTCCCGGCCTCGCAGAACTTGGTTTAGCCACCGAAGGTTGGAAGACGTTTGTCATGAAGCAGTCCATGATGGCTTTCTCGCTTGGCTTTTGCAAGCTGCACGTCGAGGAGCACTGCTTGACACGTTCAATGCAGGTCATCTCAGGTCCTGCTGTTGAGAAGACTATGGGGGGGCCCGCGTGGGCTGGCAAGGACTGTGAGAAGGACCCCAGCATTCTGAAGAACTACTTTCGGGACTACTCCGAATGTCCGCCTGCCATTCGATTCGCTCCGCTGAGAGTGTTTCTGATGTTCTTTGAAGTAGCTTGTTCTTGATTTCTTGATTTCTTCAGTTTGGCTTCAACAAACCTCGTAGGTCCTGAGTACGTGGTGCAAGAGGCCATCGATGGTTTCACACGGAATTGGGAGACGAGGACACTCTTCTGCTTTAAATTAGCAGCCTTCGCTGTGTTGTCGACGTCTGCGGCGCTCCACGGCTCAGGATCTTCTGGTTCAACGGCAAATTCCTCTACGCTGCTCGACCGTCGCACTCTGATCTTTAAAGGTTGAGGCTTGACATGTCCAAGGCTATCGCCAACAAGGCGGCGGTCTCCACTGAGGATGGCAACGAGGTCATCATAACAGGACCCTTATGGAGCATTATGCCTTACGTATCCAATAGACTTTTTCGGACCCCTGCATGACCTTTCATGTTAGGTCACTGAGCTCACGCGAGGAGATGACATCCCTGCCGAGTTCCTTGAGAACGCGAAGAGAATAGGTGAGCAAGCTCTCAAGATTCTGCCGCAGCTGCACACTCCATCAGGACGCTGCGCGTTTGTTGGCGCAAAGCATTCAAGCACTGGAATCTGTGCAGCCGGCAAGTCTTCAGGACAGCCGGTTGGCATGACGCTGATCCGGACGGACGTCGGCTGTTCAGACAGCCAGCTGCACGACAAGCACACGGACTGGGATCCCAACGGTCGGACTTTCTTCTTGAACGAGATTGAGTATGGTGGGACCACCTACTTCATCCGACACCTCAAAGAGGCCTTTCTTGAAGTGTAACGGTTGTGTCCGCAAGCACTCTCCAAAGTAAGAGTCTCTGCCAGGATTGGGTTCCGAAATGGGCCGAGCTTTATGTCAACAAGTCAAAAGAAGTATATGACAGGTTGCGGGCTGAAAAATCAATCCATGGTCGTCTCTGTCAAGTCAAGGCCTGTGGGCCTGTGTCCAACTTCCGAGGATGTGGGAGGAACAGCTCAAGGACGTTTGAAGCGCGAGCCGGGCCTGCACTTCCTTACAATTTTTGTGTTTCTGGTGTTTATGGACCATCAAGTTTTGGAGAGCATGCAAGAGCATGGCACTCCTGCGAAGATTCCATCCATGTTGCCACTAGGGCCGGCTATGAAGGGTGAGAATCCGCTGGGTGCAGGGTGTGCATGGTAGCATCATGCTTTCAGTGTCCTGCGAGAAATCGCGCGCCTCGCTGCAGATGCTGGAAGCGAAGCTCCACGCATGGTTGCAAGGTGTAGGTGTGTATCGGAGGATGTCGCAGGCGTGATGTGATGTGATCTGGTCTGATGTGACGTGATGTGAGGTGATGTGAGGTGAGGTGATGTAACGTGATGTCATGTCAGTGATGTGATGTGAGGTGATGTGAGGTGATGTGAGGTGATGTGAGGTGATGTGAGGTGATGTGAGGTGATGTGAGGTGATGTGAGGTGATGTGACGTGACGTGATGTGGTGTAATACTGGTGTAATGTACTGTAATGTAATGAAATGTGATGTAATGAGATGTAATGTAATGTAGTGTAATGTACTGTAATGTCATGTAATGTAATGTAGTGTAATGTACTGCAATGTCATGTAGTGTAATGTAATGTTAATATGTAATGTAATGTAATGCAATGTAATGTAATGTAGTTTAATTAATGTACGTATGTGTTTTTTTTGTTTATGTGTGTGTGTGTGTGTGTGTGTGTTTTTGTGCGTATGTTTGGAAAGAGGGGGGGGGGGGGCAGGACGACCAAACAATTGCCGCAAAATGCAGTTCGGCTCAAGTTAGCCGGTGACTGTGCCAGAACATTTTGTATGAATTCTGTGTTGATCGGGCCACACATAAACTGAAGATTGTAATGCACTTCCAAGTTTGCCTCAACTTTCATGTGGTCTCGCGCCTCGCTCAGTCCGCCAGCAGTCTGAGTGCAAGCGAAGCGTAGTTCATCGCGGCAACTGTCAGCTTGAACCTCTCGCAAGGATATGGAGCAGACCTTCCAGCCATCTGCCTGGTTTTCTTATGGTGCGGCTGTTGCTGTTGTGTTGCACTGTGGCGCTTGACAGCTAAGGACGCTGCTAAAAGCTGGTCGCAGCCATGCTGAAACGGAGGAGGAAACCCCGGTGTGAGGTTCAAGACAGTCACCGTCGCTTTTGAAACTTTTGCGCCTATGTCAGGACATGCGGCGAATTTTCCGCCATTTTGGCCACCAGGCGGCACGGAACGATGTAAACAACACAAATTGACTGTTCGCTTTGTCTCAAAGCTTCCACAGGAAGATCGGGGTTGGAGGCTTTCGCATGGACCTCAAACAACAGATATGAGTTTGGTGACTTCCAGCGCATGTTGGATTCAATCGGTGCTGTCCTTCGATGACTAAGACTTTTGCAGGCCGTTGGAGTTGGAGCAGCTTTTGCAGGCCGATGCAATGCACCAATGCATCGATGGCAATGCTCAAAGCATGACGCTGCGTGGGCTGCACGGATATGCTGCGAGTTTGCTAGGATGGTGCTGTCTGCACGAGGCCGCTGAAGAAAGATTGCTGCCAGAAGGTTTTGCCAGCCGATTGTTCCAGGCTTGGATGCGATGCTGAATTGAATTGCTTTCTCATCATCTCCAGAGCGTAACACAAACCTCAAAAATGTTCAGAGTATGATCTCACATTGTCGGTCCCTTATGCCGAGGCATGGGCACCAGGATTAGACTCTTTGACAGAAGGCCGTTTCATGACTGGATTCCGGGTGCGCCAGACCCTTCTGCACCAAACTCGTCGCCGAGTCACCGGTGTTTCTAGAGGTATACCTGGAACAGAGGGAGCAGTGGTTTGAACAGTGGTGGTTGGCCAAGAGTGGCGGCACGTCCGCCAAACCACCGAGTGCCGAGCTCAGCGTGCGCCGCGAGACAAGGGTAATGCAAGTCGTGTTCTATGGCTTCTACGAATTCCAATATACGATGTTGCGCAGAAGACTCGGTAGAGGTCATCGGTTGGTGAGTGAGCTGCGAAAGGACTGCCGGCAATGCGCAGTTTGAACCACCGCCATTCGGGCATTCTGAGATGCGGAGGATGCTGCAGAAGTCGGCTTCGAACAATTCCGTGAGTTTTGCAGCAACTTCGCCGAGGCGTTGGAGTGTTGTGGAGTGCGGTGCAAGCATGTCCGGAGTTGGGTAGTCCGATGGTCCACTGTTGCTTCAATTTTGTTGCACGAAGGACTCAGGTTATGTTCCTCCACCGGCGTCATTTCTAAGAGCAGTTTGGCAGGCACGATTTGAAACTGGCTTCAAAGCTGGTTGTCACATGTTGTCGCACTCTGAGACAAGTTGCTCCGGGAGGCTTGTGTTGACAACGTGCGCAAGGATTCTGGACGGAGGGGTGCGGAGACCCTTCCAGATTCTGTAACTTCGGCAACGTTTTGGCTCACTGTGATTCATTATTGTATTGACTCGCTGTGGTTCATATACTTAGTGGATCTACACAACTTACCGGCCAGGCATACGATGCACTTCTGGATTCATATGCCGGCCATTGGCGCTTGTGGCTAGAGGATTGGATTGCCGAACGCGAGGTTGCTCGCCATGTACGATGTGTGTAGCTCGAGGTGTAGCCTTTTTTTATTGCAGTAGGTCAGGTCAGAGCCCACCCTAGCCAGGTCACAAGCGTGCCGGCAAAGAAGGAGGACTCGGGCCATTTGCACGCAGTTGTTGTGTGATGTGTGGCTGCCATCACGCATTGAAGAGGAGAGTGAAGAGGTTAAAGCTGCCATCACGGTCCAACGACACTTCCGCGCGAAGCTCAAATGCAAGGTACATCAGTGGCCAGCATGGGAACAGTCCTGAAAGGTGCCTACCAAGCTCGGAAGCGGGTAGACACCAAGAAGTCTGAGGCTGGCGATCATCAAACAACTCTCACCTGCTGTTCCACTCTTCTGCGGGCTATGTGTCCATTTGCAGGTGCTTTTATCGGATTTGATTCAGAACATGTCGAACAAGGTGGAGCCCTTGGTGATTCGAATGATGCAGTATGCGGTCAAGTGGAGGCAACAGCGGCAAAGCTTTTCGAAAGGTTTGACAGCGGGAAGAAGGCTCGACGGCAGCGGCAAGCGATGCTGTTGTGTTCATGTTCTTGGTGCAAGGGGCCCATTGTTGTCCTAGTTGAGGACTACTGGACCGCAGAGGACATGGCACGCTTCTGCGATGAGCTTTGGCCAAAGCAGGATGGCATGTGGCTCGCCTGCCACTGTGATAGTTTCGTGCCCGATGGTCGTTGAGTGTCTGTGAGTTTGCATTGGCCTAGAGAAGTTTTCATGTTCCAGCGGATGCGGAAAGTTATGGTGAACTGGTTCTAGGCCTCCTCCTCCAGCTGCATTTGGAGCGGATGCCGTCAAGAAGGCCTGGAAAGGGGCATCTGTGATGTTGTCGTTGTGTGACCGATGCTCCAGCTTGATATGCTAACATGGTGAGACAAGAAATCTGCGTCGGCGCACGACGCTTAAATCGAACAAATCAGCGCCACACAGTCAGGGACTGCGCGTGCAGAGAAGTGCATGGACTGCAATTAACATTGTACAACCAAAATGGGTCGTTATAGCATCGAGTGACGCCAAACCAATGAACAAGTTAAACACAGGATTCCGGCTGCCGACTGCCGGAGTAGGGGGGGCAACACGGAACTTGACCAGCGGACCACGAAGATGCACGGCCTCTTGTCACACTGCAGTGTGAGTATGCACTCTCACCAAAGCCTTGTGGTACTTGGTCCTAGTCTGCAACCATGAAGGAAGCGCCGCGAAAAAAACTCAGCTGCAGGTGCGCTCACTAGCCGGTGCACGACCCCGGAAAGTTCTGGCGAAAATGGCAGAAGAGGCCGACCTCAACTTCAACTTCCGCCATAGTGTTTTTTTGCTCAAACAAGCTCAAGCAGTTCGGTCACTTGTTAGGAGGAGGTGGTCCTCACGAGGGAAGAGTTCAGACGTGGTTTGCCAGCTTCCGAGCTTGTCAGTGTGAAGAGAGCAACTTCGGGGATGGCTTATGATGGTTTTTTCCAGTCTTGGAGCCTCAGGTTGGCGTGGAATGACAAGCGCCACCGGCAGCTGAAGAAGTGGGAACGTGCACGGTACTGTGAGGTGCAGTGGCGCAGTAGAATTTAAAGCTCGCTTCTGATCGATTGGAGCCCCTGAGATTGACTGATCCGATTTTAATCAGTTTGTTGTCTATTGTCGTTGCCCGCGACAGGTGTATGCATGTCCATGTTGCCGCGGGCGCTTCCGTGTTGTTGCAGTTCCCGTTGCTTCTGAAAGTAGGGGGCCCGACTTCAGCCCTGGACTTTCCTGGAATGCTAGGCAGCATGGCAGTCATGCAACCCGCCCCAGGTCGCAGCCTGGAGATTGCCAAAGTGATAGATGAAGGCATAGCGCACGGAGTTTGAAACTAAGCTCGCTCCAGGAGTCTGCAGCAGACACTTGGTACGTTGTCATGGCTTTGCGAGGTCACGGCGCTCACAGGTGTAAGGGATCCTCCGCGTTTTCCGTCGGGAGCAGCCAGCTTTCATGGAAGTCGGCCTTGCTTTGAGCAGCGATCGCATAAGGTTGCCGGGCCGGTTCACAGCCGCTCCTGGCAGCGCGGCTCGAAAGCTTCCACATCCGAGTGAGGCTTCGACTCTGGGCATCGGTGTACCACTGCCGTGCCGGTTTGCTGGCTGCTGAGAGGTGGCACATCTACACAGCGAAGTGGCAAACGCGGTCGCCGCAGGTGCTGCATTGTGCGACCGGTGCCTAGACTCTCACCGAAGTAAACTCCGAAGAGTAGACGGTGCTAAATTCGCTTGAAGAGGGGGAAGATGCTTTTCCGAGGTCTTGCCGCCGGGCTGTGCGAGGCCAGCTCTGGCTGGGCCGGGTCCTTTGGGGAGCCTCGGGGCAGTAGCAGAGTATCTGTGCGCCGATCACGGAGAGACTCACGCAGAATATCCCTAATGATCCCAACGCCAAATCCCAGGTGATCCCTTAGTTGCTGGGCTCTGGGGTGGGGATGATCGAAGCAAAGTGATGTCGACTAAAGGCGGCTGCTGCTTCAAGCGGCGGTCACTGGAGCCGGCCGTGGAGCACCGGTGCCGCTTTCATGGTTGAGAGGGAAGAGAGGCTGGGAGCTTTAGCTGTCGCAGTGCTCGAGGTGCTTCTGCTTGCCCAAGATGGCGAGATGGATGCGGTTCAGCTGGGTGCTTTCTCGACATTCCTCTCAGGGATGTTCGCCAGACACAGCATGCAGGTTATGGATCCAGTCAGCATCGCCTGGGTATCCAATGACAAGGTTCTCCCCACAAGAGCCAGCTGCTCAAAGCAGAACGAGTGTAATGAAGTGCTGCATCGGCTATTCTGCAGCTGTCGGCCATACACGTAGCTTGGTGGAGCGTGGTCTTTCGAGGCCGAGCCGTTGGCAGGAGTCCATTGGCAAGGCTACCAGTGTTAGTCCAGTGTAGGTCTGGCAGAGATGACAACGTGGGTATGAAGTTGGTGTGTCGTGGCAGGTGTGTGGAAATGAGCTGCCTCGGCTGCTGATGGAGCACTCCTCAGCAAACTGCTGGGTGGAAGCTGTGAATTCTCAGACTCTTCGAAACGTAGTGAAACGGAGTGAAGCAAAGTGAAGCGAGTTGAGCCAATTGAGCTTGAAGGCCACGCCGAAAGTTTTCCAGGGGCTGGTGTTGGCGGCGGCCTTTAGCTTTTGGCAGTAGGTGCGGGCCATTGCAGATCTTGCAGTCCCTTGAGCTGAGGATAACAAGGCATCAGCCAAAAACGTTGACTTCGTTCTCATGAGCTGCTCACAAAGTGAGGCTCGCACAGCAATGCTGATCACGACTAAAGCTGGGCGCCGCTTGAACTTGCAGGTCCCTTTGCTGAAGGAGTGTGATGAACAAGCTCCCTTCACAATTTCAGCTTCAAGGTGCGCCATTCAAAAGAAATCGCCTATCAATCCACACGTCCCTGGTTTTCTTTGGAGCTTCGTTCTCGGAAGGCCTCGGGTGGTTTGCCTCCTCGACTCCACCAGCCAGGCGCACGAGGCTGCCCGGATGTGTGCAAAACAAAGGGAAGCCGGAGTTGGAGTGCTTGTAGCTCGTTGTAGCTCGCTGTTAGCTCGTTGTAGCTCGTTGTAGCTTGGGGAGGGGGTCTTTCCAGTCTGCGCAGGCCCTGCTAGAACACCTCGAGGCGCTTCAGGAGGCACCCTGGCAGTTTGGACTCCAGAGTGCTCATATGCTGAATGCCACAGAGTGCCACAGAGTGCCACAGAGTGCCACAGAGTGCCACAGAGTGCCACAGAGTGCCACAGAATGCCACAGAATGCCACAGATTGCCACATGTCCAGGCAAAGGGGCACATGTCCGCTGCCCTGGAGCATTTGGAGGCTATCGGAAACCGACAAGACCTGTTAGGGTAAAGTGGGTGCTTGTGGACAGGTTTGGATCTTCGGGTTTTATGCCCGTGAAATGTCTTAACCCAAAACCTTGAAGTCTGAAAATAGAGCGAGAGGGAGCGTCGAAATCTGAAAATAGAGCTGCATCATTCCGAAGCTTAGCGTTATACAAAGGCAAGGGGCTTCATCTGGTCACAAGGCTGGACCCCAAACTTAGCCTTAGCCAAAGCCTCATGCAGATGAAAGATGGTCTCCAAACGGCTTAGACGCTACATAATGTATCATGTATCATACGAGTTCGTGCATCCCTGTTTTTGTGTTAATCCTCAGAAAGTGTGCCTTCGTCGTCCGCCTCGCCTTTGCGACGGGCCCTTGACCTCCTCGCCTGTGCTTGCTGTGCTGTTCTCCTCCACCCTTCCTTGCTCCCACTGTCCATCTGCTGGCTTTGTTCCTCACTTGAATTTGTTTTCCCTCTGTCTCATTGTCTCATTCCCCAAGATCACACACGCCAGAAGATTGCCAAGTTCCGAACTGAAGAGGCGGCACAGTCCCTGCATGGCCAACCTGGTGGCTTTGCGCAGGCGCATTCCGCAATGTTTTAGCCCCTAGCTACGTCTTAGGTTTTTAATGGCTGCCGTGTTGAACTGTTCTCCGTACGCCGGGCTGAAAGGCCAACTTGGAAGATTTCAGCACAAGACTCAGCTTTCCTGATGAACGCTGCCTTTAGATTCTTGTGCGGCACGCCGCGCTCGGCAGCTCAGGCCGACGAGTTGCCCGCTTTCCAGCTGCAGCGCGACCAACGGAGATGGACCTGGAAGATGTGCCAGAGGCATTCCAAACATAGCAGAGGATGCGTGTATGGCAAGCCAAGCTCTGCCAGTGTCGAAACCCAGCGCAGGCGCTTCCTCTTGGCTTCACCGGGCACGGTCCTGAAGGGGTCGTGTAGCACGTCGTAGCCGTTTTGGTCGGAGTGCTTTGTGTTGGTACTGGCTCCTGAGATTGAGAGGCCCCTTCAGGCGCTGAAGCGACGAGCCGTCATCCCCGCCTTCCAGAAGGCGTTCTATTCATGTATCCATCATCTCTGCAAGGTTCATGTGACGGCAGACGCTCCCAGGATGATCTCTCTAGTGAGAGTGATGAGACCCCCTCCTCGTCACCATCTCCAACCAAGGACCTGGGATGACCTGGGGTTCTGAATCATTCTTGCTGTCGCCCGAAGTTGCGGTGGCATAGGCTAGAATGCTGGATAAAATGACATTGAGCTGGCAGGCTGCGGACATCTTGCCAAAGCCAGGCGAGACTTCGGCTTGAAGTTGTAGCCGCATGGGAGCCATGCTCTGCCTCTGTGTTGTGCAGGACCGTCAGCACAAAGAGCGCCGGCGCCTGCCGCATCGGCAGTACCAACGGTTGGCATCTCAGCACCCAGCAGTGTACCTAAAGAATGCTCCTTGCCATTGCCATGATGATCATGATTGCTGTACTTGACTGTCGTGATAGCACTGGCTGCCATCACAACAACTATGGAAGCATCTGCACAGTTGCCCGTATGTGGAAATGCACGAGGCAAAGGTATGTTAACGCATCTGCACCAGAGGCCAAACCATCTCCTCAGAGCTTCTTCTAGTAGCCTTGCGGCAGCCTCATCGTGTGATGGCTCAGGCGGGCTTGGGTGCCCTCCTTTACACATGGGGCAAAAGGTAGGATTATGCAGTTGCAACACCAGGCTCGGGACCGTCGACAGGCTCCGGACTCTCGACGCACTCTTCCTTCGCAGCCCCTTCGGATGCACCATCTCACCGGCATGCTTCGGCATTTTTTGTCAGTGCATGCTCTTGGCTGAGACTCGAACCACACTTGTGTCGATGGCATTCTCGGAAGGAGGCAGCAATTGGTGCAACTTACTTTGGCAAAATCAGCTTGTGAAGTTGTGCTTGGCGAGGCTACTTGCGTTTTCGGACGATCGACATGCTCGCACAAGTCTGCAGGCCTGAGAACACAGCACGTGCCAGTTCAATCGGTGAGTGCATTGACGACTTTTCTTCCAGTTGGTCGACGGCCGCATGCCATACCACCCGATCCCGTTCACGCAAAAAAAGTCTTGGACGTGGATACTGACAGTCTACGGAAGTCGCTGAAAGTCCAAAACTCTAGGCTGTCCGAAGCACAACAGGGCATCCCCAGACTTCCTGGCAGATTGTAGCCAGACTGACCAAAGTCATCTCCTTTCGTTCAAAGCCATGCAATTAGTCAAACGTCCAAATATGCGAGTGCATCTGCGCTGCGGGCATCCATTTTTGCGCAAGTCCTGCACAACAGTTTGACTGCAACACGACTCAACTGCATTTCATTGTCACCTGCTTTGCCGCCGAACCTATTTTATCCCAGCTCCAACCTCTAAGATAATGCTGGATGAATGGGTCGTACAGTGACATGCTCAAGCTCAGCTGCACATCACTTTGCAGAGCGGTTTGGTGAGCGGCAAAAGGGGCTCAAGCTCACAGCCTTCCCTTGCCTTGCACCTGCGTCTTATTGTGGGGGGCCCAAATGCTGATGAATAAAAGTTTTTCTACATGCTTGATGGACTGCTTTGCTTTGCTTGAGGCTGGAGCACCATGGCCGAGGAGGAGGGACAGGAAGTCATCTTCACTGAGAACACGGCGCCCGCTTCCTAAGCTGAATGCGAGTTTGGTGGCCGATGGATATGGGAAAGCCTGTGCTGCGTGCTGGCGAAGAAACATGAGTGCAATGCCGAGACCCGATCGAGAGATTTGGGATGAGAAGGCCTGGCAGCTGAGAACGCATCCAGACTTGGAGCCTGTGACTTGGGTGTAGACAGGGTGGCCTCATCAAGAAGGGTGCTGCCGAGATTGCTGAGAGAGATCAGGACCACGTGCCGGAGGCCAGTAGATGTGGGCTTGCGCACACTTTGGATCTTGAGTCTGGTGGCTGCAGGTCAAAGTTCTGACAACCCTTGGCATGTTTGCGGTGCCGGTCACTGCAGAAACCACGATCGGCGAGATTCGGCAGAAGGTGCAGGCAGGTGAGCAGAGTCATCAAGAAGCAAGACACTTGCTCCTCGATCAGTTTGCTTCCAGGAGTGGAAACCTGAATACTCCCTTGAGCAGAAGTCCCGACGTGTTTGCAGCTTTGTCATGCCACAGCAGAGCCATCACATCTTTCTTTGCCAGGATTGAGCTCGTGTGCAAAGACAAGGACGCATGGGGACCTCTCTTCAACAAGACGTCCCGCCCGCGTGATGATGATGAGACTGCGCGTGACCCAGACGGCGCGAGTATCTGGCTGCTGTAGCTGCTGTCAAAGATGAGAGCTGATGCTCTGCGAGAGTCAGTGCTTCTCGAGGTGGAGTCGCTCTGGAGTGACTGGGACATTCCGCGCCGGATGATGCAGGCAGGGTTGCAGCTGCCAAAAGCCAGGGAAAGCGAAGCCTGGAGCGGAAGCATGACGTGAAGTCACAGTGCAGTTTAGTGTAGGCTAACGCAGGTTACTGCCCCATATTCAAGCTATCCCTAAACCTTTGCCCCATGCCAAGTTGGCACAGGTGGCGCTTTGGATCAAGGAGAAGAACGAAGAGACTGGTGAGCGATGCACTGAGTCACGCGCTGGTTTTTGCGACTCATGGTATCGCATGGTTATGCCCTCCTACAGCCTTCTGGCAGAACTCAAAGATGCAAATCAGGTGGGAGTCCACGTTTTGGAAGATGCTCGAAGAATCCAAGTGCGACGCAGCAGCCTCGGTTGATGTGTCATCAAGCTGAATGGCCCTTTTTGCCGATTTGCAAAGCACAGCACGTAGGCTCAGAGGAACCGCAAAACCACCATAGACTTTTTCTAGCAGAGCATCTCTTGTTCAAGGAGTTTTGCCAGCTTTGCCTTTAGCGCTCCCAGGGAGCGTGCAGGGCAGTGTAAGACAATTGTCCACAGCAAATAGGGGTACGCCAGTACACTTATCATGAGCTCCTGTGGCGATGGTCAAACCAGTCCTGACCTTCTGCCTGCTGGCCTGTTGTGCGGCAAGCCAGGAGAGGATGATCAGGAAGGCACAAGGTTGTAAAAGTTGAGGGCCGGACGTTCCCTTAGACAGGAGCCTTGGATCTTGCCGCAGCTGCGCTCGTGGAGTCTAGAGGCTGGTTGCCTGTGACACTTGTATTGCAGTCGCTCCAAGGATAACTGCACAGCTCTCTTGCGCTCCAAGCCCGCACCCATGTCTGCTAGGACGTGGATTGCGGCAGCATTCGAAGCTCAGTGGTCGATTGGGCTCTGTTTCAGCGGTCGGCAACACAGTTCAACAACGTTTGGGTGCTGAACACGCCGCCGCAGCTCGGCAGCAAAACGTTGGTTTGCCAACCAGAGCAGATGGAGGCGGGCATTGCGATGCTGTAGCAGACAGCGTTGCCTTCTGTGAAGGCCCCGCGAGCTTTGTCCCGAACGCACTCTTCGAACCACGCTGAGCTACAGGCGCTGCGGACATCTGCAGAGCCCCCGCTGGTGTCAGCATTTTTTGACGTATCTTTCGTTGCAAGGCAGCCTACAGCGAGGCCGCGCTTGACTGGAGAGGCCGGCTTCGGACCTTTCGACTTGAGTTCGGGGATGCAGCTTGTAGGTAGCCAGACTTGTGTTACATTCTGCTGACTTTGACGTTTGACGAAGAGGTGGGACACGTCTTGCAGCGTGTGGACGTGGCTTCAGAAGAATGCCCTCTCGGCTCGTTGACGGCTGCAGTACTGGCCATGGCCTCAATGCAGAGTTGCGGTTTTGCGAAGCTTCGCCTAGGTGGGTGTAGACATCTGCAAAGGCAATTTTATGCATCCGTGCAATATGTGCATTGTAACATGTGTACATGTATACATCTATACGGCGTCTGCACTGTCTGCATTGTCTGCATGATATGCATTGCATGTGTATGAAGGTATGCATTCATACAAATCTACACGTATACAGTAATTTATACCTCTACGCATCTTTAGATCTGTATATTCATACATCAATCCATCTGTACATTTTTGCATGTTATGCATTTATATATGCATACATATCTATACATCTCTATACATCTCTGTACATGTTTTTGGTAGGACGCACCCTCGTGTGCCCTGCGTTTCCTGGGGTTTCCAGCTTGGGGGGTTGGGGGGGGGGGTTGGGAATATCCATGTTGGGAATATCCATGTTGGGAGTATCCATGTTGGGAATATTCATGTTGGGAATATACATGTTGGGAATATCCATGTTGGGAATATCCATGTTGGGAATATCCATGTTGGGAATATCCATGTTGGGAATATCCATGTTGGGAATACCCATTTTGGGAATATCCATGTTGGGAGTATCCATGTTGGGAATATCCATGTTGCGAATATACATAGCACTTGCTGCAGGCATCTCCCCCCGAAAAAAATGCCGGCCCCAAGCATCCCAAAATCCTTTCTTGCCTGATCCTTCAAGTCCACCAAAGCAGTCCAAGCCCAAACCTTCCCAAAGCCTTTTTGACCAAAACCTTCAAGCCCAAGCATCCCCAAAGCAGTCCAAGCCCAAACATTCCCAAATCCTCTCTTGAAAGACCAAGCCCAAACCTTCCCAAAGCCTCTTTTGCCGACACATACACAAGGACATGCAAGCCCCAAAAAGTGCCCTCAAAAATCCCTACAAATAAGCTCAAAACACTTAAAACATGGAATACACAACTTTTCGGTTTTCCTGCCCTTCAAAACAAGGCTCCCGCCTAGGCGAAACACTCATTTTCCAGAAAAAGCGCCCGCCCTTCGAAGGATCAGTGGCGTGTCTTCCTGGTTCCGAAAACCGGAATGAGTCAAAAACCTCGGTTTTGTACACTTTCCAACGTAACCACACCCAACGCATGCCAACAAAACGCAGGGCACTCCAGCGCGCGTGCTACCATGTTTTTGCATGTGTACATCCGCTTGTACATTCTCACTTTTTTGCAGTAGTACATGTTTGTATTTTCCTTTTTATCAGTTGTACATATACATTTGCTGTTGAGATGCAGCATCGGTACGGTATTTATTCAATACACATGTGAGATGTAGCTGTTGCAAGAACAGTGAGCTGCAAAAGTTTGCAGCCGAGTTTTGAAAATGCTCGTAAGCTAAGACATATGTCTTGCTTAAGTCGTGTTGGGTACTGTTACTGCTCGCTACGAGCACTTGCTGTAAATAATATTAGGTACAAAGCAATGCTTGCTGTCATTGAAATATTCTGTTGTGTGCAGAAGATATAGAAGCTACACAACAAGCACCACAAAATACAATTATGAAGTATGCCAAGTTTAATACTACGTACATATGTGCATATACACATAAACTTGTAGTTGAGATACAGCATCTGTACGAACTCCAATGTATATGCTAGATGCTACGTTTTCAATTATCAAAATTCAAAAGCAATACCATGAAGGGGGTCTGAAGATCGTGGAAGCTCCATGTGCGAGGCTGCGCGTGCAGGTGCGCAATGGTGCACCAGCTTGCGTGCGGCAGTATGAGCGCTGAAGCGCGTAGGTGCATGCGGCGGTGCAACAGCAAGTGCGCACACATGTGTGCGGCGGAGCGCGCGTACGCGCGAGCACTCGCGTGCGTACGCCCGCGCACTCGCGCGCGTGCGCGAACGTCTGCGGGCAAGACCAAATTTGCTACCTTCTTTTGCTGTTTTGCTACCTTTTTTTGGTTGTCACGGTCTACGTGCGTGCAAATTTGCTATTTTTTTTTGCAAGATTTGCTGCCTTTTTGTTGGTTTTTGCTTCCATTTTTCCGTTTTTGCTGCCTTTTTGTTGGTTTTTGCTCCCTTTATTCCGTTTTTGCTGCCTTGTTGCGCACGCAGAGTGTGCGCGCGCCCGCGCGCGCGCGCGTGCGCGTCTGCAGATAATGCCGCACACGCGCATGCGCAGCCGCACGCACAGCTGTCCGCACGCCGCCGCGCACATGTACGCGTACCATCGCGTACCCGCGCGTGCACCGCGTACGCACTCCGGCGCACTCACGCGCGCACCCTGCTACGCACCTGCACGCGCGCCTTGCACACTCGCCTGTCACCTTCCAAGGTCTGCAACGTACCCCATATCCATGAAAGCATCTAGTATTCCTTTCGAATTTAGATAAGTTTTCAACCATGAAAATGAAACGCGACAGTTTTATAGACGTTCATAAAGCATTTGCATTCTAGTACTTACATCTTGTTTCAAGTTGGGTTCAACACGAATGTCGCCCGCCAAAAACTGTTGTTTTCGCAATGTTTGCATTTCGCTAAGAAGCACCGGGACTTCTTGCAACGTATTGCTGTTTGATATCGGAGCCAAGGCACTTGTTTGCAACTCAGACTGTGGCACGACGAACACCAACGAAAAGGGCCTTGTCGAAATGCTTTGGAGGCGCGCGTTCCAGGCCTGAGCTGTGGCATAATGCTACATGTTCTAATAGTTGCACAAACGCAAGCGATCGGTGACTCTGTGAAGGAAAACCAGCACCATGTCTTTGGCGAGGCTGGTGAGCTGCGAAGCCACAGTGGAGACACAATCGATCCGAAGTAACCCGAAACTTCCCCTTCTCTTCCACAGACCTCCGCCGCAGGTGCCAAGCAGCGAGGGCGCTCCGTGGCTGCTTGGGACATCTGCGTGGCCTGTGGCAAGTCTGTTGCTTGCTTGCGACATTGCAACAGCATCGCGACATTGCAAAGCGCTTTGTTTCACGTGACAAGTTGTACAGTTACAAATGGTTGTTTGGTGCCACTCGGGTTGCTGAAGCCTTGGTTTGTTGTCATGACTCTTTGCTGAGCCTTTGCCACTCGTCTTAACGCATGGCAAAAAGGGTTGGATCAACCGAGGTTCCGTCACAGAAGAAGAATCAAGAGAACGCAGATGGGGATGTACGGATTCCGGATGAATTTTCGGGCACCCGCTAATGACGACAATTCAAGAACTTGGGTTCAATCGCCAGGAGGGGAAGGATGGAAGGAAGGGCGGGGCGGCGGGGGGGGGGGGGGGGGGTGGAGGGAAGCAGGGGAGACAAGGGGGGAAGAGAGGAAGGGAGAGTTTTGTGGTCACATGTGCGCATGGGGGGGGGGGGCGCCTCTATGTCGAAGCCAAATCAAGCCCTTCGACTATGATTCATGTTTCTTCTGCACAATAATTTCCTATTTCCATCGCTATCACTGCTATGTCCAGGTTAGCCAAATGGTCTTCAAACTGCACCCGGCGCAGTAGCTTGCGCCAACAAGTGTTCAACCCAGTGCAGGATGGGGAGACAGCCCGCAGACGGCCGGTTCAGGCACGGGGCTGTATCGCAAGCACAGCTCCATGTTTCGTCGAGGTGCCTGCTAGTGGGCGCTGTGCTGCTGCAAGCCTCAATGAATTCAACGCTGCGGTCCACGTCGTAGCTGTCTGGGACTCGGATTTGAGAGATTCGAGCACGTGAAAAAATCGACAGATCACTGTCATTCGGAAGTCGATGAGGACAAAACATTGGCATTGCTGCTGCCGGGATCCGGTGCGGCTGCGTTGATCTTTGACGGTCGGCTGGATTACTTTGCCATGGCTGCGCTTCCACTTTTGCGGCGTTTGCTCGAGGCATCCCTGTTTGGTCGTTGCTTTGTGATTTCGAATGCCGCACCGGCCAGACCCTGACTTTCCCGAGGCTTTTCCGAAAGTACGTTCCTCTTGGCAAGAAGAGCCGACTGGACGACAGAACACGTGTGTGATGGAAGTGGCGACCAAAGAAGTGCTGCTTCTGTTTTTGAGGCGTGCGTGTCTGTTCCAGGTTCCTAGCATTGTGGCAACTGTAGCATTGGTAGAGAAAGCGGGTCATCCAGTGAAACCTGTGAGGCTTCTGGGGCCAACAATTCCTCCGGATATGGACCCTCTTCATCGCGCCAGAACTGCAAGCCTAGCAAAGATCCTGGCGACCGTGTCGCTGCAGAGGCGAGAGAGGGAGGCTTCCGTGCACAGAGTGCAAAATGAGAGTGAAGGGAGGATAAATGGATACTCATGACAAGTCAGTCTTCGACGCCCTTTGAGGCTTCTTGAGAAGGGCTTTTCGCTGCTCACCATGCTCGCAGCCTCGGCTTTGACCACTTGGCGCTCCCACAGCCTCTTCCCTGCGGCGCAGGCCCCTTGAAAATGAGACAACGAAGGGCACTTTATTACGTAGACCTGACTTGTTCAGCTGGTCTGTTTTTTGAACGACGTTGTTTTCGGATATGCTTTAGCTTCACAGTCAGCTTCGTCTGGGAGGTGCAAGTGCCGGATGTGACAGCTGTGGTTTCGGCAGCTGCTGCTATGCACAATTCAGGTCTTTAACACAGTCCAAGCTCGGCACACTCTTTGATGTGGGGATGTCTCGAACATGTCGCAACATCCAAACTTTCGAGTGGCTGCAGGAAGCGCAGGAAGCGACATCCTGGAGGCCAGCCCGGGTCTTGGAAGCAGAAGGACAGGGCAGCCAATTGTGACCTTGAAGGCCATCAGGACGCAAAGAAGTCTTCAAAGAAGCCTTTGGCAAAAGACATCGCCCGGTCCTTGATGAGTTCTGAGATGGGCAAGAGCAGTCACGGTGCCGGCATGTGCCGATGCTGCGCAGGTCCTTTGGAGTGCTCGCCTTAGATTCGGATCCAGTAAGCCCACTTCAAGTCTGACATCAGCAGGCACCTGGCGTAGAGATGCAATACAAACTCAATACAGGCGCGAGAGATTCTCCGTGGGCCCAGGCCAGTCCCATCTTTCGGCAGATTGCAGCTTGGCTCCTCGAGGCGCCTGAAGATTTGCCGCAGGTGGCTCGGAAGATCGACGGTAGTTCCTTCGCCTTCGCCTTCCCCCCCCCCCCCCCCCCCACTGCCAGATTCCAGACTCAGCAAAGTTGGTGCTCCCGAGGTGGTTTACATGACCATGTTTTTCGGGGACCTCGGGAACAGCAGCTGGGTGTCACGCTTCCTCGATCGAGCTTTGGTCGTCGGATTGCCCCGCATCATCTTCGCGAGCCCAGATCCAGCGTACCTGCACGACTGTTGCTTGGCTGCCTGCATTGGTATGGGACTTTGCTTCGGAAGCCAGACTCGCAGCCAGACGCGGCGAAGCTGCTGCGTGATCGCAGGCGCAGATGTGGCGCAGATATGGAGGGCTCGAGGCGACGCATACAACAGGCTGCTTTGTTTCCGCAGTTTCTCCACCGTCGCGAGACCCTATGACATCAACAACTATGCACTTGGGCTGTCTTTGACTTCTGATAGGCTGATAGGTTCTGCAAGATACAAGACCCCGGAAGGCTGCCAATTCATTTCAGCCGAGGCAAAATTTGTGCTTCTTCCGCTACTGTTGGCGCTCGGCATGAGCTATGCCTGGTGCCTTGGCCCAGCTCTTGAGGCCATGACTGGGTGATATGCGGCGCGTATGTCAGTGCCTGTGTGGAGGTTGGACATTGACATCTTCGTGGCCCAGAATCCCACGCAGCGGCTTCTGAACTTGGCACAGACGGCGGATGTCCTGACGACGGACCACTTCGACGAGAGACTTGGACAATAACGGATAGCAAGAGAGCAACTTCGGCTTCGAGCTCAGACCTCCCAGGGCCTCCAGGGCTTCGCATCCCTTCCCCACTTCCTACAAGCCTGTCCCACTGTCGTCAACCCGGTGTGGCAGCATGGTGACGTTGCATGGCATCTACCCACAGGAGTTTGCAGGAAAACCGGGCCCGTTTCCCCCAGGTCGGCGGTGCTGCAACTCATTCCCTTCACCCGCATCATTGGTTTACCCAGGAGGTGCTGAGGATACTCACATTTCAGGCGCAGCCCAAATTAATGCAGCTCTTCGGGGCAGGAGAGGAAACCGCTCTTGGATCCCCCCCTGTAACACACGAGGAAAAGCAAGCATCAAGCTGATCAAGGAACCCGGCCCTGTGCCTAGGTAGACAAGGACAGTTTGAGGTGGGAAGTTTCCCTTACAACCTTAAGAGGCTGATGGAAGGTTTATATGGGTCTTAGGTCCTAGACTATTTATCCACAAACTGATATAAACAGTCCTGCCCACCTCACGCCGCATTTCGGAGAGAGTTGTGCCGGTGTTCGCGGGTAGAACCATCTGGGAAAGTAGATAATACTTCACAGGGCGTCGGTCGGCGGACATGCGTGGAGTTCTGGGTACTTCCTCGGCAATTCTTGCGTTGATTTTCGGGGGACTGTCTCGAAAACATTGTCCCTGCATGCGCAAGTGCATGCAAGCGGTCGAGAAAGATTGCTTGATGAATCAAGTTCGCATGCGAAATCGGTGCAAAGGACCTGCTTGAACCATGGCGTCATCTTCGTGAAGGATTGGACTTGAGGTTGCACTCCTTTTCTTTAAGACATGTTGCAGCAGCTGCATACGGAATGCTTGAAAGTAACTCCCTCATGGCTCAGGCCTCGGACAGAACTCTTCACTGGGCACTGAGCTACATTAGGTGGATGCATGTATATCCATTTGGGCACGACCAAAATGGCTGGGATGCCTTTCTCGGTCATTCGATTGAGTTCGAGCCGTTAGTGACTTGATTGCACATAGCTTGGCTCGCTGAGATTCAGCAGCAGCTTCATGTCCGACAAACATCGACAAACGAGGTTCCCTCAAATCGTAACATCACTCTTCGAGTTCTGGACACGGGGAAAGAGTTCTTGACTCTGACCGGCTGGGCAGGCTTGTCCAGTCTGCTCGAGACTAAAGCCGCTCATGTGGGCGCATGACCACTTGTAACGGCTCCGTGTTGGCAGCACATCATGCATCCATTTTTCCGTGTTCTCGGTGAACTCAGCCTTTTGAGTAGGGTCCTTCAGGCTGTGTCGTTCGGTATGCAGGTGACGATGCCGACCTGCCAGCTGCCTTGCTCTTACACCTTACACGAACGACACCAATTGGCGTGATGGAGAAGCGGACTCGCTTTCTCGAGCCTTGGCCTCGCGTTGGTGGATGTCTCAGCTAGAGCTTGGGTGAGGCATGCTGCAAAGCCTTGCAAGTCCTTTCGGGGGTTGAAAATCGTCCGAAGCGACTCCCGAGGAGATGCTCGACTCCACACTTCCATCCCTGGACGCAGACATGGCGCGGCTTCGAGATTTGGAGGCCTTTTTGGTGGATCTTGCTGGGCCCGAAGCTGCACTGCGTGGCAAGGGGACACCGTCATGACAGGTTCTGCGCGCAGCTCTGTCTCCGCTGAGGCTTGATGCGGGGATCTGCGGGCAGAATTCGGCCATTTTCTTGGCAGGGAAGATTTTGGATCTGGTGCTTTTTGCTTTTTCTGTTCTAAATTCACATCGGGGGGGTGCCGTTGAAGAAGCTGGGGTCGGTGCTTTATCGATTCGGGCCCATTGGGATGATCAATTCGAAAGGGGAGGTCAGATTTCCGAAGCCAGTGCAAGCTTGTGAATGCTTGTGTTACTGCCGCAAGCGGGGTTGCAATATTTCAAGTACTCTTAAGGATTCATGTAGGGTCCTGGAAATCGTTCAGCTTGGTTGCACTCATGGTATACCGGCGAATTTTTGAGTGCTCTCCAGGGCGGCTCAGCCCTCGCCCAAGCGATCGTGCTACGAGGGTGTCCATGTTGCGGTCGAGGAGGCGCGGGCGCGGACAGTCTTGCAGACTGCGGACAGTGTGATGACCTCCATAGTACTCTATAGCCCATAGACATTCTCTCAGGCTGTGCACGATGGAAGCTACTGGCATCTCTTTAAGTGAAAGCATGGTTTCACGTTGAGCCTGTTCCTGTCAAAATAAGACTTTAATAGTCGCTGAGTCTTGACGCATCGGTGGGCATGGGTAGAAAAGCCAGCGCTGCACGCTGACTGCATGTAGACGTCATCGATGCGCTAGACGGACTTTGTGGTGCAACTTGCAGCCAGCAAACACGAGCAACCGTCGTAGCTAGATGAAACGAGATGTGCAGTTTTGGAGCTGAGGATTGGAGCTTCCAAGGCCACACAATCTGAGAGAGGCTACCCGAGGCTACCTCCAGACTTATCAAGGCGAGATGTCGAGCTGAAGAGGCTAAGATTCTTGCCGAGCCTGTTAGGGGTTTGATGTGTCGTTCCATTTCTTTGCGCCTTCTCTGGATGTAGAAGGTCTCTTCCAAGCCCAAGTAGTCGTGCAGCAACAGAAGAGAACATGCGGCGAAAAAGGCATCGCAGCTTCACCATGCAGGAAGGCCAAACAACAACCGCTAGCCGCTGATCACAAAAGTTTTGATGCAGGCAGAGCGACTGCCGACTCGGAGCAAGATGGCTTGATGCCGAGGAGGCTCTTGGGCGTTCATGCAGGATGGTGGAGGCGGATGGGTGCGACGCGTGCCATCCGGCAATCCTCCGGACAAGGAGCACGCAGACCCCCTAAGTAAGGGAAAGATAGTTCACATGAGTGAGCTGAAACCTGCTTTGAGACAACAGTGAGGCAGCATTCTTCCTTCAGGTCTTTAGATTCGGTCTGAAAATGCATTGGAAGGTTCTCCGAAACTTCCAATTCGGCACAGTATCACGTGTCACCTACATGTGCATCAAACATCGGTGCCAACTGCGCATTGCCAACCTTCGACATGCACGTCGTTCCCATGGTAAAACGCCTTTGCCTGCGATGTGTCACCTTGTGAATTGCTGGCAAGCTCTGGGGGCTTGCTGGACTGTCCCCGCCTTGAAAGCGTTGGTTCCAAATTTCAGACATGCCAGTATATGCCAGTTACGTTGGACGCAGGAGCATCAGTCAACGTCTTGCAAACAGCCCCCATCACTCATATCCAACATTGGCTTCGGTTGTGAGAAGTGAAACACAATTGCGCGACGCCATGGCCCTGGTTCTGGAGCCCCGTCCCGGGTGGGGCCCCACAGCAGCGGTGCAGTCATGTGCAGCTATGTGTAGTCAGGTTTTTCCGTTGCTCTTGTGAACTGCTTACCTGGCATTGATCTTCGTCACTTGCAGGCAGCCAGCTGGTAAGCCACAGGACGACGAAGCTCGTCAGCGGCAGGACAGCCAGGGGCTTCTGGATGTGACCGGGGTTGGGATCTAAAGTTTGCCTAAAGAGCGTAGATCATAGTGTAGATGCTTTCTATGGCTCGTCTGTGTAAAGCGGGTGGCTGCAGAGCTTCTGCTTTCAGAACCGATTGCAGCTGATGGTGTGTTACTTTCTCCTCAAAGGCGCTCGCAGCGCTATGTGTCCGAGGCCAAACGGACCAGGCTACTCGCTGGACGCGTTTCCTCAGCATGGTCACACATAGTCACATAGTTCGGCACAAGATTACAAAACATCGCCTAATGGCAGGTGCTGGAGTTCCTGAAAAGCCCGGAGGTGAGCCGCTGCAGTCGAACCTGAGTGCGAAGTGCTTTATGAGCGCGTCTCTGTAACGTCGCTGAGAAGACATGATGAGATGTTTCCAGCAGCTTTTGGTCCACGGGGAGAGGGCCCGGTCACTGTACAGACCCACAAAGGTCCACATGTCCCCAAGCGAATGCCCACACTCTGGCCCAGCCACTTACTGAGAGACCATTGAGTCGGTGCTTCTCATGCGATGCCGATGTATACGCAAGTCGCTTTGCAAGTGCACCTTCAGTTAGTGAAAGTTTTTTCTCACAGCGCGTAGATTCCAGCAGCAGCAGCAAGTGGCAGCGTGGTGCGATGATGTCCTTTGCGTCTACGATCCGCCACATAGCGAGCCCTCAGCCGTGCCACTCAGCTAATTCTTTCTATTGGCGTCGTTTGCCTTTGTCATTGTGCTTTGCTCCGTGCCTCGTCCAAGCAGTCCGGGCTTCGGATGAGGTTGCCTGCAGCGTCGTAGTGTTGCCGGCGTCAGACGCTTGCCACCGACTCAGCTTTGGAGTTGAACTGTTTCTGAAGACCGTATGCGACGCGTTTATTACAGTTTTTGTTAAGTCTTTATGTCAGGCTTGGTGGCTTCATTCGGGCCATGGCCTTGGAAGGGCTGTGACTGAACGCAGAGTCGCAGAGGCCTTGTGTGGTTCTGTGGATCCGTCATGACGCACAAGCTTTCACACATCCGAGGCCGTGCATCCTGATCTCTCTCCAGATTTTCCGGCCGAGGTGCTCTCTAGACATGACCTGAACGAGGTTGCCAAGTCAGTTTGAAGAATCTGCGGGTTTGGTGCCTGCTGTCAACCGTGTCGTTCTGAAATCAGATCAGCGGCATGCCATCAGCATGACTGTGTTGCCAGGCCAAACGAATAAATCAACGCTCCCTGGCCCTGCGCCTAGCACGTCGTGCAAGTGTGCGTTTCTTGGGTTTCAGCGGAGCAGCGGAGCTGAGCTGAAGGCGGTGCTGAATGCCTACATTGATGCCTTGGAGTCTCATGGGAGTCGCCCGTTCGATGAGGGGCCGGAGGTGGGCTCCCAGGGGGTCACGAAAAACAATTCTGGTTCGCGATCCCAGATCACTGCAGAGCACTGCAGGTGGCTCAAGAGCTGCCCTTCTTCCGCGCGCTTCAGGCTTGCACAGGGAGCACCCCTTCGCACTGAAACAAGCCTTCATCGTTTACTGGTTTGTCAGACTCGACTGGGGCGGATTGTGCCGCACCATGCTTGTGCCTGAGGGTATCTCAACACCCCTTGAGTTCCGCACATTGATTATCGCAATCGCACACTGGCGCTTTCTTTCTAGCCAGTTGGTGGCCAAGTTGCAATGTGTTGAGGTGGTACCGCTGCACTTGCAACTCCCATCCCTCCCAGCAGCAGCCAATGAGCCGCAGCCTCATGAAGCCACACATGCAATGACAGAGTGCTGACAAGTGACGGCCTTTTGGCCACAGAAATGGAACTTCTGGACATGCTGCAATAAATTTTGCGAGGCTTGACAAGGAGTTCGCTGCAGCTCACCTCATCCGTGGTGCGGAGGCGCTGGGTCGACCTGGAGAACGAGCAGACATAGTGTTTTGGCAACCTAGGGTGCAGCAGGGAGAGTCAGCCGAGAACACAAACATGTTGCGCATGTCGGACATGGAGTGGGCTGAGGGCGCAAAAAAGGGCCAGGGAAAACATCCGAAGTTATCAAAAGATTCAGAAGGCGTCTGGCCGCGGTGGAAGTGCTTTGCCTGTGCAATCGTGGCATTTCTCGGTAATGCTGCCAGGTGGCGCTGGAATCTCCAAGTATGTTTTCGGACAGACCGGAAGTTTGAGACTTACGACCTCCGTGCCAGAGCATGCAGCTTTGCGAATTCCTGCTGCCTGTGTGAAGGTGGCGCCTCTCTTCACTCAAAAGGGTGCTGGAAGGGCAGCCTTCGACAAACTCTGGTGGTCGGAAGCCCGGGTGAGTTTGGATAGCAAGCAGCTGCCCTCGAGTGCTGATCACTGCTCAGGCAGCAAACGCAGGAAGAGCTTGTGCGTGAGGCCTGCCGACATTTTTCCATACCTGCACACGTCTCACAGTGTGCTGCGTGTGTGTGTGTGTGTGTGTGTGTGTGTGTGTGTGTGTGTGTGTGTGTGTGTGTGTGTGTGTGTGTGTGTGTGTGTGTGTGTGTGTGTGTGGTTGTGTGTGTGTGTGTGTGTGTGTGTGTGTGTGTGTGTGTGTGTGTGTGTGTGTGTGTGTGTGTGTGTGTGTGTGTGTGTGTGTGTGTGTGTGTGTGTGTGAGTGTGTGTGTGAGTGAGTGTGTGTGTGTGTGTGCGCGTGCAAGGCTATCCACGGCCCTGATGACAAGGAGGTACGGCTCCACGTCGCCAAGTGCTCAAGCTGCATTTGAAGCTTCTCCTGCTCTTGCATTCGGCTCCTTCCCAAGAAGTTGAGAGCCCTATATGTTGCTGGCAGAGAGGCGCGTGTTCGCATGCAAGTATGGTCACCAGCTCATGAGGACAGGTGCCGACCAGAGACGCAGCAATCTGTGAGCTGTGAAGGCCCGCACGGTTTGTTTGAACCAGCACGCTGCAGGAAATATTGGCGAATCAAGGACAAGCAGAAGCGCAAGCGTCGCATCGCTAATGTGGATTCTTTGGTCGAGGCGCACAACCTTGCAACTGTTTTGCACTCTTCTATCATCCCTTGGAACGATGATAGTTCCATTCTCTCCCCTCTTTTTGCTTGTTTCGTCACTTTCTTTCAGAGAGGCCAAAGTTCGGGAGCGCTTCCCGGAGCCCGAGCCAGCAGAGCAGGCCGAAAGTGTAATTAGCAGCCTCGAGACCGCCCCACCTTTGCCGGTTTGCCCGAGCCTCCACGTCCACTGCCGTGCCAAAGAAGCGCCAAAGCCCAAGTGTTTTTGATTTTTAACAGGCTGAGTACGAGGAAACCAAAGATCCTGCACGTGTGCCCGGACCACAGTGCCGCCAGTGTCTGCGGGCATGTCGAAATTGATTGTGTGGAGGTTTGCTGTGTTCATGACAAGGGAACACTCATTGTACCTATCACGCTGCAGAATCAGCTGTACCGAGCTTCTGTTTTTGCATTCATGCGCAGGTAGAGTCTGGACGTATGGCATATCTTGCATTGTTTTTCTTGCATTATGTATGCTAGAATCATGTCGGAAATGGCTGCTGTTGTTTAACTAGGCGATGCCCTTTGCTGCTCGTCATGCTCAACACTTCGTATGGGAGGTCTAGAATTTGTTGCAAAGTCTTCCTCCAGCTCCAACTCCACTCTGTAGCTGGCTTCTGCCGCTGCTGCTGTTGTTGCGTCTCTGCTGCTTTTCGCGGACTTTTGCGATTTGCCATTGCCATCAGGCTGCACGGTGGCTTTCACCCAGACCTCGTCTTTGTGGCGCCAGATCTAGACCCGGAACGTCGACGCGAGGCCGCATGTTGGTGAGTGATGTTCCGGTTGGGGTAGGCACCACACTCTGAGGCATCTAGCTGTTATGGCAGTTAAGATGCGGGGGAGCATGCTGGTGCAGGCGATTCGTCGCGTTTGCGGCATGAACCTTGCCAGCGATGCTGAGTTCTGGCTTTTGGAGAACTTGTGGTGCGGCTGACAAGAGTTGTCTCTTGTCGAAGCTCACATCGATTGCGCCGCTTCTGCTTCGGTTGCGGGCAGAGGTAGGCAAGTCTTGAGCCAGGAAGGCCATGCGAAACAAGCCACCTCCAATTCCCCTGGTCATCGTGGAATCTGGATACAAGGTTGGGAGCTGCCTGCTTGTTGTCGGCTCTCTTGATTCTAGCAGAGCTGCCAGAGCTTCTTCACTCCTGCCCGGCAAGTGCAGGCTCACCCGACTGGGTTCATTCAAGTCCCCTGGGACTTCACGGTCGATGGCCTTTGTGACCTTCTGGAAGAGCCCTTCTTGCACACAACATTTGTAGGATCCGCAGATCAGATTTTGTGGAGAATCGAATAAGTGGAGCCGCAATCCTGAGTATTTATACTACGAACCTAACCTCCCTTCCTCCCCCTTTTTCGTGTTCTTCTTGTTTGCAAACGTCATCCCTTGGTCATGCCTGCGCCTGCAGACATGCAATCTCCTAGATGTTGGTCTGCGCATCCTCGGATCGTTCCACTTGCAAAGGGGAGGTCTCCCCCCCAAACCCGGGTGCTTGTTTTCAAAAGTTGTACCCTGTAGGTCTCTTTTTTTGAACAGGGGGGGGGGCTGCATGCCAGTATCACTGTTTGCAAACATGGGGTTACAACACCAAGCCAGTGTGCACGGAGGGTGGCTGCGCAAATGCGTCCCCTAGGTTGATTTATGAAAATGTAACCCTTGAAGATTTTCATGGCAAAGGGAGGGGGCATGGCTGTGGAAAGGAGATTTGGGTCTACGCATCCTCGGACCATTCTGTTTGCAAATAGCTTGTTGTCGGAAAACCCAAGTAACTAATTTGAAACGCGGCGCGTCGCCGGTCTCTACTCCATACAGGCATGTAGACATTCCACAAGTTGTTTTGAAAGAGTCCCTGCTGTGGCAGGGTTCCCACTAAAGGGGAGGGGGTACGAGGGGATTAGAGGAGGGGAATCAAGTGGTCGTGTATGGGAACCTTTGGTGTTTCACAGCCGGCCCGGCAGGGGACTATGCCAAACAGGTTTAGGGTTTCAGGGTGAAGGCGGTTTAGGGTTAATGCTAAGCGTTAAGCTAATGTTGAACATCGGAACAATTTTCAGATAATTTTGCACATCCTTTAAGGAGTGTTCTGGGAAGTATGGTGGGCTGTGAAGTGAGCGTTCTGGTTGTGCAAGGCGTTCTGGCTGCATGGGGGGAAATATTCCAGATGATGTCCGTGGTTGTGCCCCTCCCCTGTAAAGTCTCAGCATCCATGTCACCCTTGTGCTCTAAGTTGAGTTTGGAGGGAAACCAGTCGAACATGCCCAGGAACACTTGGACAGCACACGACAAGGACATCAGCTCTTGAATCGGGCAATGACTCAATGACAATGAGGTTATGTTCATGGCGTGGCGGCTGTTGCCTCCAGAGTTACAGTCATGCCGGTATCTTCTGTCCGGCCAGGACTGATCCGCCGGCGACAGGTGGGACAAGTTCCTCCTGTTCCAGACCCAGACGACCCTGGACCATCACAATTGCAGGGTAGTGATGTTGGTCAGGTTTTCACGAAGTGCTAGGGAATGCAATCAGCGATGCAGGACTCCTTCTGGGGGCCAACTTGGACGAAGCGGAGAACGTAGACGAGGAAGACAGTGAAGAGGATGAGCACATGAACGATTCGTTCCATGCTCAGCACCACGAAGATCTTCCGACTTCTTGAGGCATTGACATGACCACAACAGCCGTGGCACCTGAAGCAGCTGCCGGAACATGGTTGCACTGCTGGTTTGCGGCATGGGCAAGAACTTCCACGGACCTCCTCGTGCGTAAGGGCAAGGAACCGCTTTCCACGGTGATCCTTTTGCTTTCCGCCAAGCACTCCCAAGAATTGAAATCCACTGATGACTGGCTTCGGCCGAGAAAATCAAAGTGAGGATGAACTCAGTGAAGCTCTTCGGTACAGGGGGAGGGAAGCGAGCTGCGTTTGCAGATGGCACGTCACAAGGTGCTCGAACGTCTGCTGCATGTAGCATCGGTCTTGGAGCAACCTTGTGGTTACCGGGTTGCAGTGCAACGCAGATGCGGAGCATTTCGCGATGCAGTTCTCTGGAAGGAAGTTTAGATGGAAGACGCCGTGTTATGCTGTGGTCAAGACAACATTGCCGCGTTTTGGTCTGTTAGATTCGGTTAGAGTCTGCAAGAAGGTATTGGCATACGCTGGAGAGAAAAACGATTTGAGACGAGCGGTCAACTTCTGTACTGACTCACTGTTGTGAGTTGCGTGTTTTCTTGTGACCAATGCCGCCTGACAGTCCGTGCACATCGCCTCTGGCGAGCTGGACGCTGCTGGAGACTCCGCATTGCACCTGGCAGCTTGGGCATGCTTGGACGTTCAGAGCTGTAGAGGTGGTCTTGTTGTGTACGTGTGCAAAGATTGACGTTATGCTTGTCGCAATCCGTGTAGCATTGGAGAACTTGGACCGACGGCATGTCATCAGAAGGAGATTTTGCACAATGCGAAGCTGCCAAAAGTGTACATCGAAGGTCCGAGTGCGAAACGTAAGAACGCTTAACTCAATACAAGCTAGGAGATAGAAGACGGCATGTTACTCTGTTCGTCGAACCCAAAGGCATAGCAAAAAGCTTCGAAACTCCAAAGGGCAGCGAGTTCTGTTCTAACTTCACATTTGGATCAGTTATCGAGTGGGGTGTTTGGCTCAACTGTTGAAACGCTTGGGCCCATAGTCCCACAGGCTAAGCCAAAGAAAGACATGCAACTTGCGAACCCAAGCACCTCTAAATCTACCATAACCAACAGCAACTATCTGCAAAGGTTGTAGTAGCACTTGTGGGAGCTTAACAGTGCGTAATATCAAGATTAAGATGTTCCGATCTTTGTGATGTCACTACGGCAGCCTTGTATTTCTGGACTTGTGTTTGCTCCCATTGCTCTGTTTGGTTGGCTGTTGACCTGCTGGTTGTGCAGTAACATCTCCATTTGTCCATTTTGATGTTTCATCATGTCTGGATTTAGGCCGGTGCTCAAGGCACTAAAGCGGGGCTCTGGGATTCAATGCAGCATCTGAATGTTTTGCCATGTGTACTTCAGGTACTCTTTCTCTTTCGATTGAGCTCACGTGTTCGTGATTCCGGCCTCTACAGCACGTGAGTCCTGCAGGCAGTTCTGGGGGGACACCTCGTGTTCACGCAGGACCTGTGATGAAAGAAAAGGGGGCGAAAAGGGGGCCAGATCGTGGTCTTCGTGTTCTCTTTTCGGCAAACTGCGTAGAGTAGCCACTTAAAAACGCTGAGCCGTTGGCAGAGGAGTTGCTGGCGGCCTCCTGTGAGGCCTCCTTGCGCGGGCTTCTTGTTTCCTGTTTGGCCAGGTTGAAGGCTCTTTTTGTTCTGTATCTTGCTGTATGAGGGAACGCTGAGAGAAGAAGAGGTGCATGCCCGCGACCATCGTGGCCGATCTCCCTTGCACGCGCCTCCCCGAGCCGATGGTTCACCGAGCTTCGGGTGCTTAAGGGCTGTTTCGAAGTGACAGGTGGCGGCCATGGAGGGAAGCCCTGAGCTGGCCAGAAGCTGAGAGGTCTTACTGAGACTCAAAGAGCCCCAAAACGCATAACATGGTCATCCTATAAATCTCTCATCGTCGGATTCCCGTTGCGTGTTCAGATGTCCCAGGCTTTGGAGCTCCTGACCGCCGGGGCCGATGCCAATGTCAGGGACGATTGGAACCAGACAGCCAGACACTCCCAGCATCTCCCAGCATCTCCCAGCATCTTCCAGACTTCCGGCTTTCAAATCCGCTTCATGCCACACACACACACATCAGGGAGTAGCTAGGCTTGCTTGGTTGTGTTCCTGCTCCGCCAGAATGTTTGTGTCTGTGGGAGTGGTCCATGTCATTGCAGGTGAGTTGAGGAATATGTGTTCTGATGAGCGGTGCCTGAGGCCCTCCACTGGGCATCAACAGCGCATTCAGCAGATCTGGTATGGAACCGAGGTGAATGTAAGCCGGTCTAGCTGCCGCACTGCCGTTGCAAGAGTCGTCTAGACGAGGTGTCAGTCTTGTTGGATGGCCGCTTGGCAATTTATGATTCTGGGATAATGTGAACCTGTTGGCACCGGCGAGATCCCGATATGCTTTCATGGAGTAGTTTCGTTTATTGCATGCGTTTTCGCTTGCACGTACAACCCAGATGCCACGGGTATGGCTTAGTCCCGAACTGGAGGAAAGTTTCCCTGGGTGCCCCAGCGGGTCGGCAGATGGGTCGTAGTAAGTCGTGCCGTAGTATCTGCAAGAGAAGTCAGAGGCGGGGCCGATCCTCTGCTTCGCGATAGCCTGGACCTCAGATGCAGGAGGCGGTCCTTGCAATGCATCGTTTGGAACAGCTTAAGTTTGTCTGGCCGTCTTTACCTTCACAGGCTTTGGCAGGACAGCCGCTTTCATGGCCGCAGAGCGGCGGGCTCAGAAACAACGAGTGACTAGCGTCGCGTGTCGCTCTTGCTGCCGGAAGAAGCCAAGCCCTCCGCGTGTCCAACAGCATAATACAGAATACAGCGTTCAGGCAGGGCAAGATGGAACTCTTGGCCCGCTTGCTCGACAAGGCGATTTGCCGTAAAGACGTCACATACCTATGATTGACTTGCCCGTGAAGCCAATGCAGAGCCCGTATTGAAGGTTGAGTGTTCTCTCCCTGTCACATTCTGGACGCAGCCCTTACCTGGACCTCTAGTTTCCCGAGCAGCCATCACACCCTGACACCATGTTAACGCATTGTTTGTAGACTGCTCGTCTTTTCATAAGTCATACCCCTGGAGCATGCCGGAGCTGGAACATTTTTTCCACGTCTGCGTTTTCAAAAAATGTTATTATTTAACAGAGTGGCAATGTGTTGCAATGAGCCGTACGAGGCGCAGACTCTGTCCGTACTGAAAGGCACGTAGCAACTTTCACGCACCAAGTTTGTTTAACGCACGAAGTCATCTCATATTCAGTTCGTTCGTAAACTTACAGTTTAATTTCAAAAGTATTCGGTAAAAACGCGCTCACCTTCAGTGGTGCTGGTTGGCTGCAAGGCTCCCAGCGCCGTCTCGATCCCGAACAACGAGTGCCATGCACTCAAGCTTGGAAAGTTCATTGACCCATTGCTCCGGCCGAACATCTTTGAGCGACCGAGATTGGACCCCGCTACATGTGGCAGCTTTCGGGGTGCAAGCCGTAAAGTCCTGACCTTGAGCGTTTCTTTGTCATTCCAATGGTCCAAGGAGGATCCTCCAGAATGGTGTTGTGACAGCTGTTTCGGTGCTTCTCGCATCTGTCCAATGCAACCTGAGGAACTTCACAAAGCCTTTGAAGTTTGCGGAGACCGTCAAGATGCTGCTGGCTGCGAAGGTGTTTGCACTCCGCCCGTGTCCAGAGAGCTTTCGCTGGACTTCCTGACAGGCGGAAGTTGATGCCAAGGACATGGCGCTACACCATTCGTAACTTCCGTAGCTTCCCTCCTACCCCCTGAGCTGAAGGACGAAAATTGCCGCACAGCCCTGCACAGAGCTGCCCAAGCAGGAGTGCTGCTCCGTGACGTTTGCAGATCCTTGCGCGATTTGGGCGTGAGTATCTACAGGAAACAGCGAACAGCTTGTAGCCCTGCTGGCTGCCGGCGCGAGTGTGTCCACTGCAGCCCTGCTGCCATGTCTTCAAAGGTCTTCATACATCTGCATGTCCACACTATTTGACAATGAGAGTCAGAAAATTCAGTATGGCTCGCATGGGGGTGTTTGCCCACGTTTGCCAGGATGAGTGCAGGTGGACACCCTTACACTATGCAAGCCAGGCAGGGGTGCGCGCGGGCGGGTGTGTGTGTGTGTGTCTGTGTGTGTATGCGTTTTTTGTTACCTTCTTGCGTTGTGTCGCAGGCATTTCGTAGGTTCTGCTCGCATGATGCTACTGAAGGAGGGCCACTTGGGCATTGCAAAGCTCCTGATTGATGCCAAGGTGGCCGTCTCAGAACATCACTGACCAACTAAAATCTAGAGCGAGGTCGAGAGCCGCAAAGAAGCAGTCAGAGGGGCGATTGTGCGCACACAAGCGCCGGAGGCCGATCCTGAGCCTCGGAGTCCAACATGCCTGACACCACTCGCAGTGGCAACCGAAGAGAACCAGGCTGGGGGAGACAGGGAAAGTACTGGAAAAGTATGGCAAAGTTCGAGCCTGCATGGCTAGGCGAAGATGGTCGAGTTTCTCCTCAAGCAGCGTGCAGATCCCCATGCCAGAGCAAAAGGCAGTTCCCGGAAATGCATGCCGGGGAGAGGCCCCAAGTGTTAAAAAGCAGAGTGGCATCGGAAGGCCTCCATTCTCCTCTGATGCTGGCTCGGAGCGACCCGACGAAGTGCGGGACTCGTCCATCCAATGTCCTGGCGAGCTTCCTTCGGCTTTGCTTGCCAGGTACGCTGACATACTCGCGCTCCTGGAGCTGGGCTTCATTCATCACTAATCACAGGTGTAGTCGTGAATCCTGCAGTGAAGCCACAAGTTGAGCTGCGACGGAACGGCCGTCTCACCATCAGCAGGTAGCCGATCCTGCGCAAGAAGCGTGGGCAAAGAACGAGCGCAAAGAACAAGCGCAGTGCATGTTTAACATGTCACTCCAGACAGACGGTCTGCCGGGTGTTCGCCCGGCATGCGCCTATGTACTTGCTGAAACTACCAGGCAGGTTCGCAAAAGGGGCTCTCGGTCAATTATTGCCGGCACAACACGCAACTTAAATTTTCATTCTTACGTGTTCTTCCGCCCTCATTTTGGTTTAGCAGTTGATGGCTGCCGTTTGCGCCTACGTACCATCAACCAGGCCATCAATGTGCTGCATTCGCAGGATGTCAAGTCGTGGGAGATGTGGCCGTTCTTGCTAGGCATGCCGAGAGGAGTTTCGAAGAAGCCTGGTTGCACCAGCAGCGATTATCATTGTACTGGACATGCCCCGGCATGCGAAGGTATGTTCGAGCTTTGATGCGAGATGTGAATGGCACAGGCGCCCGCGCTCCTTGAGAGCCTGGGGAACATGGCTGGCTGGCGCCCTTGCGCGGAGCTTGGGTGCCAGTCGTCTAGTGGGATTGAGCTTCTATATGCTTCTATATGTTTCCGGTTTCGACCGCAACCGTAGGTGATCTTGGCTGTCCCTCAAATCAATGTGTTTGTTCCGCTGCCACAGACATCCAGGCAGGATGTTCGTCCAGCTGCTTACCTTCTCCTGCTGCTAAATGCATGCTGCCATGATGCAGGCAGTCTGAGCTGATGGAATCTCGACGCCATGCCCTAATTCTGGGAGGACAAGACAGCTTTCTTATCGATATCGGCCCACATCCCGAAGTCATCCCGCTACTCAAGAGCGAAACGGAGACGGGACCCAATGATTTGGCGAGCGCTGTTTGCCGCCAATCCTTCTCTGGACATCCGTCGAAGTTTGGACATAGTTCCGGGAAGAACACTGCATCCTCACATTGTGCAGTCTAGCAGTCTAGCGGTCCGGTCACAAAGAGTGGCTTTGGGTCAGCAGCTGCCCTGCTCGCAGGAGTGTCTTTCGCAGCTTTTGAGGCAGGCTGACAGTCTGACATGGTAGAAAGACCAGCAAGATAGGCTGGCGGCTGACTTGTAACCACCACGAAATGGACCATGCCAATACATGACAGTTGTTTGGCACAGTGAATGTGCAAGGATCAGGCTAGCGCAGCCAGTTCAGCAGCCGCCAAGATCAAGGAGTGTGAGGCAGGGCCATGCCAGCCCTTGCATGGTCCCCTCCAAGACGTCATATTTTGACTTTTTCAAGTTTGGTTGCAGTAGCTAACATTTCCGGCTTACAGCGACTTACATCTCTGTCTCAGGCCGAGGCCAAAAAGATTGTTGGTGGCCTCGAGTCGTCAGCAGCGAATGCGCTGGCCATGACACCTGGGCAGCCGGAGTCCCGAAGGGTGAGTAGTTGATGTGGAAAGCCCTGAAGCGCACCTTTGCCGCTTCTTAAAAGTTCTTTACCCTGGTGAGAGATGCCAGGGCTGCCGAACAACAAGCGCGCGGCCCCCCGCCACTGGGCAGCTTCGAGACCCTGGAAGGGCCGCTGGATCGCAAGAAGATTCCCACAAAAGCTACACTGGGAGCAGCAGATCCGAATGGTTGATTTGAGGCCCTGCTCCACATCAACTCTTCGAGCTGCTGCCAGAGCCTAGGAGATCCAAGATTGATGGAAGATGAATGCCTTTCCAGATCGCGCGAGGCAGAGAGCCTTGCTTCATCGCCCCCAGCGGGTCTCAATCGACAAGCCACGGCCCTAAAAGTCCCAACTCAAGAAATGGCAAAATGTATTTTCGCAGGGTCGTGGACAATGGGAGCTGTCAGGAGCTCCAGCGCTTGGAGGACGCCCCAAAGCGAATCGTGGAGGCTGCGAGCTGAGGGGGGTGGTTTCGTGTGTTGCGCCCATACAGCATTCTAAACGATTCTACGAAGACTGTCGTAGGGAACAAGGCAGAAGCCTAATACAACGCGTCCCGACCAGGCCCGCACAGCGATTGTCGAAGCGAATGCAAACAAGCAGGCAGCAAATTGGCTTGCTGCAATGTTGATGGATTCATGCTCAGTGATCACATCTTTGGCGCAGGGCCCTCGGCTGTTCGGCGCTGTCAGAAAGTATTTGGATGCCTCTGGCAATCTGCTTCTGGGAGCTTCCTGACTCCACGTGATTGCTTAATTTTTTAACTCAGCGCAGTGTAGGTAGCCATTGGGTGAGTCTCTCCTCCCTTGAGAAATGAGTGAAACAAAAAATTTGCATGTGGGTGAGTCTTCTGTAGTCGCTCAGTTCAGTAGCCACAAACACTGAGTCCCAACGTTCATATGTGCATCTGTGCGCGTATGTTTGTGCGTGTCGTTTTCGTTCTCGGTTTTTCTATTGACACTTTGATGTTGGTTTAAATCTGTTATGATATAGGAAATGGGGGTGGGGCCGAGGGGTTGGGGTTTGCGGGGTTGGTGATTGAGGTGATAGGGTTTAGGGATTGGGGTTGAGGGCTGAGGGATTGGGTTGGAAGGAGGCGGAGGAGGGGAGGGGTTGTTTAGGGGTTGTTTAGGGCGAGGGATAAGGGAGGGGAGGTATTATTGAAGGGAGGGGGTTGCTTAAATTATTGAAGGGTTGCTTCGACGGTTGCTCAGGAATTATTGAGATAAAATGACGGTTAAGGATTCTTATGCGGGTTTTTATGGGGTTATTTTGGGGGGGGGGGCTCGGATTTATAATTGGAATTGGTGATGGCGCGGCAAATTCTATTGATGTTTTTATTAAAATATTGGATTCATTATTTCAATTGAAAGGATGAATTTGTAATATTTTTAGAAATTGAGGTCGTAATGAAATGTTTGAAAGGATTCATTATAAAAAGGCATATTGAAATATTTGGAATTAAGAATTTCATTTTCATGGAATTTGAGAAATTAAGGATTAATATTAAGGGGCTGATATAAATTATTGGAGGATATAGATGATTTCTGCACGATTTTGATTATTGAGGTCGGGAAGATTTGTATATCGTAATAAAAACCGGAAGTACAAGTCTTCTTTTATCGAAGAAGTGATAAAAATGATATTTGCGTTAATAATTCTAATTAGGAGGTATAGATGATATTTATAGGTTCTGGTGAAAAGAGAAGGAAATTTTGTTCCTTTGTAGATTCAAGTGTTAGGATATCAAAGGAATTGGCGTCCGATACGTGGGTGTGTGTGTGATGGTTCTATATATTCGTGTTCTCGGTATTCTTGGGGAATTGGGGGTGGCGTTGGATTTTTCAATATACGATTGGGAATCTCGAGATGACGAATTGAATCTTCTTGATTTGAATATAATTTGGATGACGCTTAATTCATATTTTATCACGCTTTAGATTATTATCATTATATTTCTTTTGCTTTTGGGAGCAGAAACCTCCTTGACAAAAATACTAATTACAAATCTTCAGAGATTGCAAAAGATTAATTGATATAAATTCCCATTCTCCATGATAATATTTATAAGAGATATAGAAGAGGAATCTTCATAAGATATTTCTAAAACCTACGATTCTTCAGATTTGATTAGATATTGAAATCAAATGATTAAATTTCGAATTATGATAAAAGATTATTATCTTTAAAATTTTCCTTCAAACTATACCACTCATTTAAATTCTT